TTCCGGGTGTGATTCAAGGTGCTGGTCACCACCTTTAAAGCGCTCCATGGCTTAGGACCTGGGTATATACGAGATTGCCTTCTGCCACCGATAGCTTCCCACCAGCCAATACGCTCCCACAGAGAGGGACTCCTCAGGGTGCCGTCGGCCAAACAATGTCGACTGGCGACACCCAGGGGGAAAGCCTTCTCTGTGGGGGCACCTGCCCTCTGGAATGAACTGCCTGGAGGTTCGCATGATCCCTGACCTACGTACCTTTCGCTGTGCCCTTAAAGACTCTTTTGTTCCAACAGGCCGGGCTGGTTTAGAAAATGAATTTTAAGTTGGGTGTTTGTAGCTTTTAACTTAAGGGCCAAATTTATATATTTATTTTAAATTGTTTTTAAATTTTGTGAGTATATGTTTGTTTTAATATGGCTGTACACCGCCCTGAGTCCTTCAGGAGAAAGGCGGTATAGAACTTTAAACAATAATAATAATAAATAATAATAATCTTAAAGTTGCCACGGTTGAGAAACACTGATCTAGATTGTAGACGAGCAGATATAAGAAAGAAATTGATGTAATTATCCAAAGATTGAAGGCTTTAATCATCATCACAGCAAAGATACACATGTTGATATACACATGAGTTTGCATGCACTTATAAGAAAACTGCATAAAGATCTATTTTTAAACATAGAGATCAAAATTATCTACTGCCATGTTTATTTAAAAATAAATCCTGCCAAATTATATGAAGCTTACTCCCAAAACAGATGCAAAATTGTGCAGGTTAAATTATTTAGCTAACATTAGCTACTGGAAAACTTGTTTAGCAAGTTTGAAAACTTAAACAATCACAGTAATACTGTACAGTATTTGCAAGCCCATATTTATCTTGGGATAAATCAAAAGTAAATCAAATTTGTCTAACAAAGACATTAGCTTTTTGTTTATTTTATTGCATATTCTACTGTGTAAACTGCAGATACAAAACTAGCATTCCATATTAATAAAAGTAATACAAAATAAGTTTTCAGATTCTGTAGAATTTATCTTCACAATTACTTATATAAAATTGGAAAGGAGGTAGAAAATTGGTGATAAAACCAAAGTCTTAATTGGAAAATATGTAAGTATACTTTATCTGATTAGATGTTAAGTGCAAAAAAATTTTTTTGGGTTGCCCTGAACATTGGGTTAAAGAAACAATAATAGTTATCACTTCCCTGAACTCATTACAATTTACAAAACTAAACTCAGTTTTTGAAACTTTTCTAATGACATAGTGTTCCAAAACTTAACACATAGTACAAAGTGATTTTTAAGACAAACCTAGATAAAATTGCAGAATTAGTTTTTCCAACAATTTTCAAATGAAAAATGCATAAACAAAACTTTGAAACCGCCTAGAATTCAATGCAAAACAGAATAATATAAACAGCTTAAACAAATGAGTGAAAAGGATCTTACTATGTTTTGGGCAGAAAAGATACTTCTGATAGCGCTATTTTCAAAAGTCAGCTAAAAGAAATTAGAGTTTATGAGTCAAGCATTTGCCACTCTGTTGATTATAAGACCGAATGATTAACTCTTAGACCTTACATTTTTATAATCCATTGTTTTCATAAGTTATTTTTCCTTTGCAAACAATATATTTTTAGATCAAGGATTGCGTGAAGATATATTTTTTTTTAAAAAAATAAAATTCTAGTTGAAGTCAAATCCTGCAGGTTGCCTAGGTGATAAAAATGACTTGCTGCTGCCTTCTTACAAAAACATTTAAAACCTCTCAAACTCTTGCCCAGTCCTTTGCCCTAAAATACTCTATAGCCAAGAATGAGAGGAATCCTTATTCAGTATTAAGCTTTGCCTTACAGATGTTGTACCATTTGCAAGCCCCAAAGATGTATGTTTCCTATCGGTAACAAAGTAGGAAGCAATACAAATAGGCTTTTTCCATGGTTCTCTTTGTTTTAAATTCAGGCACTATTGTAAAGAAATTGTTTTGCATTTTAGTTCCTGTTGTCACATTCATTTATTAGCACATTCCATGGCCAATCATGAATGCTGAATCTTTTCAGAGAATGTTTCTCAAACTTTTCAATTTAAGATGGGTGCAGGGGTGAAATCCAGCAGGTTCTGACAGGTTCTGGAGAACTGGTAGCGGAAATTTTGAGCAGTTCAGAGAACCAGCAAATACCACCTCTGGCTGGCCCCAGAGTGGGGTGGGAATGGAGATTTTGCAGTATCCTTCCCGTGGAGTGGGGTGGGAATGGAGATTTTGCAGTATCCTTCCCCTGCCACGCCCACCAAGCCACACCCACCAAGCCATGCCCACAGAACCAGTAGTAAAAAAAAATTTGCATTTCACCACTGGATGGGTTGATTTCTATTCTCAGAATTCTCCAGTCATTGAAATCCACACATTATAGATGCCAAGCTTGAGAAATGTTATGCAGTAATATTGTATGGTATGCTGGCTTAACAACTGCAGATAGAAAGACACTACAGAGGGTGATGAGCATGGCACAAAACATCATGGACTGTCCTCTGACACCACTAGACGAAATCGCTAGGACGCGCTGCCTTAGAAGAGTGAGGAAAATCTGACCACTCACAGCCTGGTCAGCACCTCTTTACTCTCCTACCATCAGGCAGGAGATACAGAAGCATAGTATGAACAGGCTGAACACAGCTTTTATCCGTGGCTGTCAAGACTCCTGAATGCCACATAACATCGTAAGTATGTAGTATGATAGACTTGCAGGGCCGGCGCAACACGCAACATGCTCATATTGGCACAATATATTATAATGCAATGTTATGCACATACACGTATAGATGATTGTGTATTTGTTAGTATGATTTACTGGGCTAGGGATTTTCTGTCTTTCACTGTGAGTTATTGAGATGTATTGTGTTGGGGGGGTGCACTAAGGGAGGCTCAGCCAATCTCATTGTACACATTTTATTTTTATTTTATTTATTTTATTTTATTTATGTATTTGTCAGTACGTATTAGATAATATATATAAGTATAAGCACGAATTGAATACATAAAATGAATACAATTAAAGGGAACATTAGGACAGGGACGGTAGGCACGCTGGTGCTCTTATGCACGCATTGTTGTGCATTGACAATAAAGGTTTTGTAAGGTCCCAAAATATACTTGAGTCACCAGAATGCCAAAGAGAGAGACTCAAGACGAGGCTTGCAAAAAGAAACAGATTTTATTTATGGCCAAAAACAAAATACTGGGTGGGACTATATCCAGAACATACAGATACAATGCATGTGAGGAGATAAGCCACCCCTTGGGGAAGATATGGCATCCTTTTTATACCCTCAGAGACATCAGTTTAGTACCCAATTCTGGCCTCCTAGTTTAGATTTGTGTATTCCTTGTTGCCCTGCAAAGGAATAGAAGCCTCCCAATTAGCGTTATCTCTTCCTTGAGCATTCCTTTGTTCTCCCAATTGCTCATTTGGCCCCCTGGGCTGCAGGGAACAGATCAAAGGTGTAAGTTAGGGCTGAAGTGTAAATTATCTCCCGGATGATGTCTGAAGTTCCAACTGAGATAGGTACCATGCTCTTCGATGGCACGAGAAAAACAGGAAGAAGATTGATATGGGTTCAGATCAAATGACAGGAACATATGTTTGACAAATACCAGATACATTACAGAGGCCTAATAACAGAATATGTTTGTTACAGGAGATACAAATATAAAGGCATAATATATGTGATACAAATACAAAGGCATATTTGTGTTACAGATATAAAGGTACAATATATGTGTGTTATACAAATACAAAGGCTATATATCAGAGGTAGGTTTCAGCAGGTTCTGACCAGTTCTGGAGAACCAGTAGCGGAAGCTTTGAGTAGTTCGGAGAATCAGTAGTAAAAATTCTGACTGGCCCCTCCCCCATCTATTCTCTGCCTCCCAAGTCCCAGCTGATTGGGAGAAAATGGGGATTTTGCATTAACCTACCCCTGGAGTGGGGAGGGAATGGAGATTTTACAGTATCTTTCCCCTGCCATGCCTACCAAACCATGCCACGCCCAACAAGCCACACCCACAGAACCGGTAGTAAAAAATTTTGAAACCCACCACTGCTATATATGTATTACAGGAACCTAATGGTTACAGAATAACAAGTTTCTACTAATTCTAGTATACCAGTATATCATACTCTAGTATTATTTATTATATGCTTATTACTGTTTCCCTTCAGTTTGAATTGTATTGTTTTAGACGTCTATGGAAAATCTCAATCATCCAGGTCATGATTGTCCCAAAGGTGCTTTTTCCAAAAGGGAATTGGACTTTCCTTGGGTTTTTTTTTCTTTGAAAATGTTCCGCTTCTCATCCAAGAACCTTCTTCAGAACTGAAGAAGCTTCTTGGATGAGAAGCAGAAGGTTTTCAAAGAAAAAAAGCCCAGTTGCCTTTTGGAAAAAGCACCTTTGGGACAAATACTTTTAGGCGTTCAAGTGACAATCTGTAACCCATGACTTATATGGAATGTAGCCTCCCAGGAAGAAGAAAAACAAAACCCAAACATCTGCAGCTTCACCAAGGCCAGCGAGCAATACTGTAGATCTTCGAGCTGTAGATCTATGCACCGCGCTCGACTTTTCCGTAACGCAACATGGCGTTTCCCTTTGCAAACCATCCATTCTTTTTTTTAGGGGATTGAAAAGCAAATTGTGATGAAGGGAAGAGGAGCACATCTATACTGTAACCCAAAGATCCCTGCATTTTCTCCTGGATGTTGTTGGGGCGGGAAAAAAAATCGCCCAAGGTGTAAAATCCATACACAGACCGTAGGTAGCCGCCATGCTGTACGTTGAAAGATTCGGGAAATGGGAAGGGTGGCTTCTCTGGGACGCAGCACTTCCGCTTCCGCTTAGGCCGGTGGTTGGAGCGGGTGCAATTGAAGCTTGAAGGTAAATAAAACATCCAGCCCCTCCCCCCCTCTTCTTCCACCCCCCCCGGCCTCGCGCGCGTTTGGTTGCGGCCGCTTCGGGTGGGAAAGCCGCGCAGCGTTGGGGATGCCGCCGGAATCGACGCAGAAAGAGCGCAGACCGGGAAAAAGTGAGAGTTTTCGATGCCATCCTCGGATCTTAAGTCTTTGCTTACCTTGGAAAAGCTCACGGGGTAAAACTTGGGCGACCCCGTCGGGGGTCCCGCATAGACAGGGGTGCAAATAAAAAAGGGCGGTGCTGCGTCCCTTTAAATCCTAGTGGATTTAAAGCCAGCTTGTTCCCACTTTGGTCCTCTCCTAGCTGGCATTATCCCCCCCCCCAAAAAAACCCCAGGCTGATAAGCTTTTATAGATTAAAAACCACTTCATTAGATTTATTTTTTTAAAATGTTGTTTTAGATTGACAAGCAGATAGCTTTGCATGCATGCTCTGGTTGTGTGTGCCAGTCCATCCATGTATTTTTAAATTGGTGGATTATGGGTGTGTGGGGGGGAAGTATTTATTTTATTTATTTATTTATTGGTTCGATTTATATGCTGCCCTTCTCTGGAGACTCAGGGCGGCTTACAATGCGTTAAGCAATAGCCTTCATACTTTTGTATATACCTGCTTAGTAGGGCATTTGCCCCCCCCCTCCCCAAGTGGCGTTCTTTTTTATATAAAGTCATCTTATTGCCCCCACAATCCGGGTCCTCATTTTACCTACCTCGAAAGGATGGAAGGCTGAGTCAACCTTGAGCCTGGTGAGATTTGAACTTGCAGTAATTGCAAGCAGCTGGTGTTACTTAACAGCACTTTAGTCTGCTGCGCCACCAAGGCCCTTGGTATGTATGTTGTTTTTCCAGGCAGTGGCTACCTGGGTGACTTTGGGCCATTCACTCTTGTTTCAGTCCAACCCACTTTACCAGTTTATTGTTGTGGGGAAAATAAGAGGAGGAAACAGTGTTAGGTATGTTCACTTGCCTCCAGTTATTTATAACAATAATATAGGTGGGATGAACATTAATTAATTAGATGTCCTGGCTAGCAGAGAAAAGCATGAGCGTGCTTGGGATAAAAACCAACATTGGCCATGCTTGTGTTAGTACTATTTTAAGCATTAGCATTTAGCAAGTAATATATAGCATGTTAGCATGGGATACATCTGAGGGTGGTAACCAACTCTGCTCCTTTTCTGTGTTATTCTAACGTTTAAAATGAAAGCCTCAATTGTCCAAAGTTGAGATGGGGGTCCGGATTCAGTCTTTCTGGGTTTCTTTCTGGTGAAGACCAGTGGTGGGATTCAGCCAGTTCACACCACTTCGGGAGAACCGGTTGTTAACTTTCTGAGCAGTTTAGTGAACTGGTTGTTGGAAGAAATCATTAGGGCAGAGAACCGGTTGTTAAATTATTTGAATCCCACCACTGGTGAAGACCATAGGATATGGAGGAACATTGTGAGCAGAAATCTAAGTGAAGTAAATGGCAAAGAGTAGGAAACGAAGGAAAGAAAAATGTGTGTGTTCATGAAATTAAGAGGAAGAATGTCATTCATTCTAAATGAAAGTGGTGAATAATGTAGGGAGGGGAAGTATATTGTTATGAATGAATTGGCTAAACTGCAGATCCAACAATATGAATTGGTGTCATCTTTGTGGGTTAAGAAACTAAGCAGGATCAAATTTGCTTTGTTACGTGGATGGGAGACCTCTAGGGAATAGAATGCTAACTAGGAAGTTAAACATCATAGAAGAAGGCAAATGTCTACTGTTGTCAAGAAAAGTGCATGGACCCAACCATGAAGTCACTAGTAGTCAAGATATCAAGTCTCTGAAAGTAGAGAATCCTTAGATTAGTGATAGTTAGATATTCTGCTCCAATAAATGATGATAAAGTTTTCCAAATTTAGGAAAAATTACACATTCTGAAGGAAAGCGATGGAAGGAATTATTTAATAGGTGACAGGAATGGATGAGTGAGAATGAGAAAAAAAGATTGAGTCGTTTAGACACTAAGGATGAGTGAGAATTGTAATTGGTGAATATCTGTTTAGAAAAATATCAATACATGATTTAAGCATAGGTCTGTTGAGATCTACACATGGCAATGAATAGATAAAGCATGATTGATTTGATAATGTTGGAAAGCTGAGAGAATTGGTGAACGATACAAGAGAGGAATTTTGAATAAGGGATAGATAATTTTTAACATGAGTGAAAAAAGTAGACAGAGAAGGAAAGGAAAAAAATTACCAGGATGACCACAGGAAAATATAAAATATGCATGAAAAAAGCATTAGAAGATATAATAATTGCCCAACAGAATAAATGGAAAGTTGACGTAAGGAAATAGGAAACTTCTTGGAACAGGGTGAAAAGAATTATGTAATACTGTAGAAGTATCTGGAGTTATGCTAATGGAAAAAGGCATTTAATGGAATGATGAAGTAAAAGAGGTTATAGATGAGAAATAATGCTTGTAAGAGATTGACTGCTGCAAAAATGCAGAAGAGGGAAACACTGCATAACTTGTAGAGAGAGAAGATAACTGCAAAGAATGTTTTAAAAAACAAAAAATAGTTAAGATTAAAAATGGCAGAGAAATTCAAAGTGAACTTGTTAGAAATTGAAAAAATATTTTGGAAAAGACAGTCCCATGTCAGGATAACAATGCAAATAAGGCAGAACCAAAGAGAAATCAATGGTAAATCTTAACATACAAGCTAATAACTATAACTGTACTATGTTAAGAGTAATTACAGTAATACAGCTAAAAAAAAGAGAAAAGAAAGAAAACTTTCTACTTACATTAGCTTATTTACAAAATTTTCCATATTATATCCATAGTTTTATACATTTTTGTTGCCCACACTAACAATTATTAACATTCATAAACTTCCCTCTCATTTCTACTTCTTGTTTCTATCCATTCATAAAATTTATTCCACGTCCTATCATATTTAAAATAAATATTATAATATAATATAATATTATAAAAAAATATTTTGGCAGTGAGTGAAGAAGACTAAACAAGGAGCTTCAACTAGATTGGATTGAGAATGATTAAAGGGATTTATGATGAAACTGAAGGGAGGGTATGCTGGAAGGAGTAGTATTTTGGAGATTTATATGGGATAATAGTGTTATGTTGAAGAGCTGAATTGAAACAAATGGTATAGCTCTTAGTGTCCAAATTTTTAGCTGTCAATCAGTCATAAAAACTGTAAAAATGATATGGCTACAGAGGTATTAAAACATGATTTGCAAATGGAGCGGTTGCAACTTGTTCAGGGGTGAAGACCACCAGTGCCTGATCATTGGAATAATACTATTATCCCCTACACAAAAGAAAAGATAATAAGAGGGAATGCAAATGTACAGGAAGCTTAGAAGGTGGTTGGCAGAATTTTGATTGGAAGTGGACAAGTGGTGGCAGAGAACAACATTTGGAGTGGAGTTCTTGAGATCCTAAAAAAGAGACAAGAAATATAAGAAAAAGAGGCAAAAAGCAAAAAGCCACAAAAGGCGTCTTTTGGGCTTTGGTGTAAATTAATTAAATTCAGGTGGTCCTCAGGTTACAATGGGATTGCCATTGCTAAATGATGTTGGTTATAAAGCATGATGTCATGTGACCACATCACTTAGCAGTGGCAATCCCTGGAGTCCCAATTGTAACCCCAAGACGTGCAAATCAGGTCATTAAGCAGGAAAGAATGGGAGTCCCAGGCGCTGTGTGGAAGGTGGGAGGCTGGGAATCCCTGGCACAGGCCATGTATGAATTGGAGGAGGGCTTGGGAGGTCTAGTGCAGGTTGTGTGTGAGCACAGGAAGACTGGGGGTGGGGGAATTTATCAGAGCAATTTACTGCCGTCTTCCCCGGCAGTAACTTTGACTTTGCTTGTGGGAAGCCAGTGGGGAAGGTTGCAAATGAGGATCATGTGACTGCGGGGCGTTACAACCATCGCAAGTGTGAGCCAGTTTTCAAGCACCCGAATCTCAATCATGTGACTGCAGGGGTTCTGTGGTGGCCAAAACTTTGTTGTAAGTATCATTGCAACTTTGAACCATATGGAAATGAAAATATAAATACATGTAAATAAATAAGAGGAATATATGAAATGGTATATGGATGGGATGGAACTAAAGTGGTTTGCAAGCACATAGAAGCGTAGGGAATACTGTAGTGTTGGTGTAAACTAAATTTAGCCATGTTCCTTTGTTCTTCTCTCATGCCCTAATTTATTTGGCTGATTAGTTCTGCATTGTGCATAATGTTGCTACCCCCCCCCAGGAAATAGCATGATGGGTGTATGTATTTATGTATGTTTGTATGCATAGAGTGGCACACATGGCTTTGCAGGGAGGAGGGAATTACAGTTAAATAGAAGGTGAATGCAAAGCATTCTGATGCAGGTTGCAAAATGAGTACGAGTGTGCAGTGATAGGAAGACAGATTGTCCCTGTAAAAGCTGTGTGTGTATCTAATGAAAATGCCGCTGTTCATCAGTGCTTATTCCCCCAGTGAAGCTGTTGGGCTCCAAGGTGCCCCAGCTTCCTGCAAGAGACAGCACGGTTGCCTTTCTAAAACTTTCTAAAAGACAGGAAAAGACTTGAGATGTCTTTGTGGCGAAGAACACAACTTTAGTTTGCAGCACCTGAAACGGAGCTGTAGTTGTCTGTTGCCTCTTAAAAGGTAAAGGTTCCTCTTGCACATATGTGCTAGTCGTTCCCAACCAGGGGTGGGTTCTACTTACCTTTACTACCGGTTCGCATTGCACCTGCGCGCACTCTTCTGCACATGTGCAGAAGCTTCTGCGCATGCGCAGATCACCTATGATGATGTCCGGGGCAGTGGGCGGAGCCTCCCTCCGGTTTTACTATTGGTTCTTGCGAACCAGTCCGAACCGGAGGCAACCCACCACTGTTCCCAACTCTAGGGGGAGGTGCTCATCTCCGTTTCAAAGCCAAAGAGCCAGCGCTGTCTGAAGACCTCTCCGTGGTCATGTGGCCGGCATGAATTAAACGCCAAAGGCGCACGGAACACTGTTACCTTCCCACCAAAGGTGGTCCTTATTTTTCTACTTGCATTTTTTTTACGCGCTTTCGAACTGCTAGGTTGGCAGAAGCTGGGACAAGTAACAGGAGCTCACCCCGTTACGCGGCACTAGGGATTCGAACCGCTGAACTGCTGACCTTTCGATCGACAAGCTTAGCATCTTAGCCCCTGAGCCACCGCATCCCATTGACTTTTTCTTTTGACGTTGTCTGTTGCCTCTTACTAAATAGCTAGTTTTTAAAATGTATTTTCTGTTTTTTCTCTTGCCTCTCGCTTGGCTGTTTCAGTTCATTAGGTTGTGCTGCTGGAGCTTTACCATCAAGAGAGGACCTTAAGAGAATGCAGTAGAAGAGGGGGGGGGGTGGAGGATACGCCTGACAGGGAACTTTCTCCACCCCCTCTGCAAAGGAGCATCTTTGGGAACCTCCCTGCCTGTGCCCCTCTCTCTCTCCGTGGGGAAGATCTTGCATTGCATTGCACCCCTTTACTTTTCGAAAGGATTCCAACTCAGCTCACATCACCAGAGGCGGCCTACTGCTTCCCGGATCGATGCCGTAACTTTGGCCTCTTCTCCTCCTTTGCCGCGCCTGCCAAAGGCATCTGGATGAGCTCAGAAACCCCATGCCAATTCCCTGTGGGCGGGCCTGGCCTGCACATGGTGCCTGGGTTTTTGTGACTCGGGCAGCCTGCCCACCGAGGGAGAGCAGAGGCCGCAGAGAGGCACAGGAAGGCAGGCATGGAGGACTCTGACCAGCGCTTGGTGCTGGGCATGAACATGGGGGATGGGCGGCAGACGCCTCCGGGGCAACTGCAGACCCCCTCCGAAGGCAGCGAGGAGCAGCGGGTGCCTGGGCCGGAGGCCATGTGTGATGGTAGTGGCGATGCCAAGAAGAAAGAAAATGAGGAAGAAGAGGAGGAGGAGGAGGAGGAAGAGCTTGACCCTCGCATTCAGGTGAGGGCTTGCTAAATTCATTCTCTCGTGGCGCTGCCTCCCTGACCACACACTTAGGAAGTTTGGGTCCTAAGGTCTGGTTGCAAAACTCTAGGGCGCCACTAGGTGGCAGCAAAGGGATACAGAAAAAGTCTTTTGCTCTACCATTTAGTGAGTGTGGCTGTTTGTAACCCAGATCTGGTGGCCTTCAAAAACTGGTTTCATCTGTGTCAGAGGGGAGCTGAAACTTAGCCTTCCTGCCTCAGTCTGATTTTGAGCCACAATCTGTTTTTGGATTATTTTGCAGGCGTTTAGGAAGAAAATGAGAACAGCTTGTCTCGGGGAGCTCCCGTTTTTTTTTTCTTGCCCCAAAAAGAGTGAAAAGAATTGTACTGCCCCATCATCAATACTCCTTACGTTCCTGAATCTTGTCAGTCCCCTTCATACAAATAAAACATTAACTTTATTTTGAAAGCCATATTTTCTGGTTTAACAGAATAAAATGGTTCTGTTATAAATAAAGTTGTTCCATAGAACAATTAATCAGTGGAACAACTTGCCTCCAGAAGTTGTGAATGCTCCAGCACTGGAAGTTTTTAAGAAAATGTTGGATAACCATTTGTCTCAAGTGGTTTCCTGCCTAAGCAAGACCCCCAACGTCCCTTCCAACTCTGTTATTCTATTCTATTCTATTCTATTCTATTCTATTCTATTCTATTCTATTCTATTCTATTCTATTCTATTCTATTCTATTCTACTCTACTCTACTCTACTCTACTCTACTCTACTCTACTCTACTCTACTCTACTCTACTCTATTCTATTCTTCTCTACTCTACTCTACTCTACTCTACTCTACTCTACTCTATTCTAAATCTGGCAGGCAACATGATATAGCAACAGCACTTAGACTTATATACCGTTCCAGAGTGCTTTACGGCCCTCAGCATATTGCACCCAATAATTTGGATCCTCCTTTTCCCAAGCTAAAGAAGGATAGAAGGCTGAGTCAACCCTGAGCCGGTCAGGATTGAATTCCTGGCAGCGGGCAGAGTTAGCCTGCAATACTGCATTCTAACCACTGTGCCACCATGGCTTTTAATTTTCCATTGTTTATTCTGCATTCAATAAAGGATTCCCTCCCCTCCTGCATGTTCTGAATGCTCGAATGAATACATGCCTATGACATGAGTGCCTATGTTCCTCCCTGTTTAGAAATCAAGTAGGACACGTCGAGAAGTAAATTCCATCCCTCTGGATGTGCTGGGATGACAAGTCCTAGAACTCCCATTCTGGTGGCCATGCCAGATCAGAGGAGAGTTGTGCGCTGTGCTTAGTTCGGTGCCTTCTCTTAAGCCTCGGTCTCTGATTTTCTGCCCACAGGAAGAGCTGGAACATCTCAATCAAGCCAACGAAGAGATCAATCGAGTGGAATTGCAGCTGGATGTACGGCAACATTCCTTGAAACACCAAGGGAGGGGAGGGGGGGGGCTGTGGGCTCAAGATTTTCCTTCATATTGTAGGGAGGGGAAAGCACCCTGACTCAGGCAAGGAAGTGGAAATGGCTTGAATCCAGACATACAGATATTCCTTGACTCATGACCGGATTGCTTAGTGACCATTTGAAGTTATGACGGAAGCGAGGGAAGAAGGGAGGATCTTCCAGCCAGAAAGATTGCAGTTAGAACTCTCCTACTCAGAGAAGAGGCAGTGTAGTAAGCTTCAGTGCCAGGAGGTCAGCCAATTAAGACAATTGTCTTAATTGGCTGTCACCAGAAGGTTGAGAAAGGAAGTCTCATCTGGTTAGCGTAAAACTCCACATTTGGGCTCTTTATCGTGTTGCAAGCAAGTTGCCTCTTGGAGGATCTGCAACTTATATGAAGTTTAAGAGTGGAGATAGGAGCAATGGATGCGTGTGTGTGTGATGGAAAATGTCTACCCCTACTAAGGTTGCCACTTTATCAATGCCCCCTGGACACCCAGGAGACTGAATTGCAACTCCTGAGTCTTCCCAGCGTTGACTATCCCTCCTTGTCCCAGGACTGACCCAAGTTGTGGTTCATAGTTTACACTGGTCTCCACCCCACCCCCACCCCTCCAGGACCGCCTTTCTGAAATTCATTGGCAGATTACAGATTTTAGACAGCACAAAGGAAGAAGAGTTGGGGTATTTTTTGTTTTGTTTTTTGGTGTTTTTTTTTTTTAAACAAAGGTTAAAATAGTTGCATCAATATTACTCAGGATGCAAGTCCTAAAAATTGTGGCCTTTCACGAATGTATCATTTATCCTCTGCAGTTTCAACATCAGAAGATTTTATTATTATTTTTTCTAAAGGGAAAAGGCCCCTCTCAGAATTCATGTCATGCAATGTGGGTGGGGCAGCCTCATGGTCCTGCGCGGGCTGGATTAATGGCTTCGGCGGGCCGTATCCGGCCCCCAAGCCGTATTTGAGGACCTCTGATCTAACACTTGGGATAGGTTGGCACCATCAGGGTCCAAATGGTGGCCGTGTGGTATGGACCCTCTGCCTGAGTTGCCCTTGAACATCCAATTTACACAGCATTGGAATCCGTCGCAAAGAAAGAATCTCATAAAGCAGGGGTCTCCAACCTTGGCAACTTTATGACCTGTGGACTTCAACTCCCAGAGTTCCTCAGCCAGCTTTGCTGGCTGAGGAACTCTGGGAGTTGAAGTCCACAGGTCATAAAGTTGCCAAGGTTGGAGACCCCTGTCATAAAGGACAAAGGCAGGCTAGAAGGGCAATGTCTGAATAAGAGTAATAAATATGGCAAGAATTGTAAGGAGGGAGGATGTTTATTAAAGATGCTGACACGGTTTATGCCTTTGGTCTTAACAGGAGGCCCGCACCACATACCGCCGGATCTTGTCTGAATCTGCTAGGAAGCTGAATGCCCAGGGCTCCCAACTGGGGAACTGCATCGAGAAAGCACGCCCTTATTATGAAGCCAGGCGCTTGGCCAGGGAGGTACGCAGGCCGTGGCTTTTCAATACTTTTTTTTCATATGTTTTTATTTTATTTTTATTTATTTTTATATACCGCCCTTCTCCGGAGACTCAGGGCGGCTTACAATGCGTTAAACAATAGCCTTCATACTTTTGTATATTTTATACAAAGTCAGCTTATTGCCCCCACAAACCGGGTCCTCATTTTACCCACCTTAGAAAGGATGGAAGGCTGAATCGACCTTGAGCCTGGTGAGAATTGAACTCGCAGTAATTGCAGGCAGCTGGATGTTAAATGCTGCCTTAGTAGGAGGCATTAGCTTCCTATGCCACTCAGGCTCCTTATTCAAAACAAAGTTAAAATACAAAACAAAACAAAAAATCCGAGGACACAAAACAAAACAATCAGAGCATTAAAAAGGGTGCATAAATCCTCCCCCCACATTATACACATATTATTCCCTCCAGTTGAATACTGATTAATATATTAAGTACAATGTTAATTCCCACCCCTCGCGAAAGAAGCCCTCCCAAAAATTTTAAACTAATAAATCTATTTGCAGCTTGTTCACCTGTCTTCTGTATGTTGTATTAAAGACAACTTAGTTAAAAGGAAGAACAATAATAATGACAAATGGCCGTGGCCTTTCATGAATATATGAGCCGCGGTGGCGCAGTGGTTAGAGTGCAGTACTGCAGGCTACTTCTGCTGACTGCCGGCTGCCTGCAATTTGGCAGATCGAATCTCACCAGGCTCAAGGTTGACTCAGCCTTCCATCCTTCCGAGGTCGGTAAAATGAGGACCCAGATTGTTGGGGGCACCATTATCTTCCATTCCTTCTCAAGATTCAAGTTCTAGAACAAATCTGACAGAAATGAGAAAAAAATATCGGTGGATTTCCCTCAAGAGGGAAGGGGAGACAAAAGAGACCGATTCCTTTTCTGCAGGCTGGTTGTATATAGGCTGGTTTAATAGTGGTTGTTTAATTAAGATTGCTGATTCCATTTTTTCCTACTTTCTGGCAGGCCCAGCAAGAGACTCAGAAGGCTGCCCTGCGGTACGAACGAGCCGTTAGCATGCACAACGCGGCCCGGGAAATGGTTTTTGTGGCTGAGCAGGGAGTCATGGCAGACAAGAACCGGCTGGATCCCACCTGGCAGGAGATGCTGAACCATGCCACCTCCAAGGTGAAGTTCTTCTTCTAGGGTGGAATTGGACTGATGGGCTCCAGAAGAGTCCTGGATGATCAGGAGGGTTCCGGAGAGGGAAATGTTGCTCTGGAGCACCCCATAAATGTAGCTTCTGTAGTGTCGGAAAGCAGCAGTCGCCATGAAGATGGAGAGAAGAGAATTAGCAAGGCTGGATCCAGTATCAGTTCAGTAACTCGTGATTCCTCTGCCCTTCAGGTGAACGAGGCCGAGGAAGAGCGTCTGCGCAGCGAACGGGAGCACCAGCGTGTCACCCAGCTCTGCCAGCAGGCCGAGGCAAAGGTGCAGTCACTCCAGAAATCCCTCAAGCGAGTCATTCTGAAGAGCAAGCCCTACTTTGAGCTGAAGGCTCAGTTCAACCAAATCCTGGAGGTGAGGTCGACCTTTGAACCTGCCCTAAGTCCCTTGCCCAGGGGAGGGGGGGGGCACGGGGAAGCAGGGGTGGGTTTCAAAATTTTTTACTACCGTTTCTGTGGGTGTGGCTTGGTGGGCATAGCGTAGCTTGGTGGGCGTAGCATAGCTTGGTGGGCGTGGCAGGGGAAGGATACTGTAAAATCTCCATTCCCATCCCACTCCAGGGGAAGGTTACTGCAAAATCCCCATTTCCTCCCGATCAGCTGGGATTCAGGTGGCAGAGAATAGATGGGGGCAGGGCCAGTCAGAATTTTTACTACCGGTTCTCCGAACTACTCAAAATTTCCGCTACCGGTTCTCCAGAACTGGTCAGAACCTGTTGAAACCCACCTCTGGTGGGGTGGGGGCAGATGTTGATCTTTGCAAAGCTGGGTCTATAGAGGTAGTCCTTGACTTACAACGGTTCATTTACTGACCGTTCAAAGTTACAACAGCACTAAAAAAAGTGACTTATGATTGTTTTCCGCAGTTACCTTTCAAGCAGCCCCACGGTCACAGGATCGAAATTCAGACCCTTGGAAACTGTTTCATATTTATGACCGTTGCTGTATCCCAGGGTCATGTGATCACCTTTTGCGACCTTCAGACAAGCAAAGTCCATGGGGAAGCCAGATTCGCTTAACAACCGGGTTGCTAACTTATCAACTGCAGTCATTCACTTAACGACTTTGGCAAGAAAGATCATAAAACGGGGGCAAAATTCACTTAACAAATGTCTTACTTAACAGAAATTTTGGGCTCAATTGTGGTCATAACTCAAGAACTACCTGTAATTGTTTCCCCTCTGTCCTGAGACTAAGCTAGAGAGGTAGCTTCATCGTTTCCTGATCAGATATGTATTCCACTCCTAGAAACTAATCAAAGAGGGAAGCAGCTTAGAACTAAGGAGAAATTTCCTGACAGTTAGAACAATTAATCAGTGGAACAAGTTGCCTCCAGAAGTTGTGAATGCTCCAACACTGGAAGTTTTTAAGAAGAGATTGGACAACCATTTGCCTGAAGTGGTGTAGGGTTTCCTGCCTAAGCAGGGGGTTGGACTAGAAGACCTCCAGGAAACTGTCAGAACTGTCAGGAAATTTCCAACTCTGTTATTCTGAAATTATGAAACGCTAGGCACAAATTGGAGTTTTGAAGAACATTGTCTTTCATGACTCATCCAGCTCAAGTTAAACATTTGGATTATCTTGGAGGATAAAGTAAACCCTCTTTCTGAGTCAAATTCAACTTTCGGTGCTTACCCATGTAATTTCCTTGGAGGTACAGGTAGTCCTCGACTTGCAACTTACTCATTTAGAGACCGTTCAAAGTTACAACGGCACTGGTAAAAAGTGACTTACGTTGGTGTTTCACATGACATTTGCAGCATCCCCTTGGTCACATGATCAAAATTCAGATGCTTGGCAACTGGTTCATGTTTATGACAGTTGCAGTGTCCTGGGGTCATGTCATCAGCTTTTGGGACCTTAAGACCAGCAAAGTCAATGGAAAAGCCAGATTCACTTAACAACCATGTTAAGTTAATATTAACTTAAGTGAACAGCTGCAATGATTCACTTAGCAAGTGTGGCAAAAAAGGTGGTAAAATGGGGCAAAACTCATTTAACCAATGTTTCACTTAGCAACATAAATTTTGGGCTCAATTGTGGTCATAAGTCGAGGACTACTTGTAGTATGGAAGTGGTTTGCTATGCTATTGCTCTGTTGTCCTGTTGGCATAGACCAGGGGTATCAAACTGCATTTCTTCGAGGGCTGGATCATCATTATAGTTCTACTCCACAGGCCGGCGGGGGGGACGGGGAATGGGGGGGGGAACAGATGCCTCCTACAGCACCCTGCTCACCAAAACAGGGCACAGGGAGTCCGCGCATGGCCCCCCTGCGCCTTGTTTTCACCCTCCATGGCTTCCTGCAGCACTGTGTCGGCTGTTTTCAGGCGGCAGAGTTCTCCAGGAGGCCAGGGCAGGTGAAAACGAGGCTCAGGGCCCCTGCACCCAGCCTGTTTTAGCTGCCAGAATCACCATGGGCCAGTCCTTTGATATTTCCAGGCCAGCCCCATGGGCCGGATTTAAGCACCCTGCGGGCAGGATTGTGATAATAAATCAGGGCCTTGAGTTTGACACCCCTGGCATAGACTCACCTGGTGTTCACCTAGTCCTCAACGTACGACCACAATTGACCCCAAAAGTTACGTTGCTAAGTGAGAAATTAGTTTTGCCCCATTTTATGACTTTTCTTGCCACACATATTAAGTAAATCAATTAATAGCACGGTTGTTAAGTAAATTTGTTTCCTCATTGACTTTGCTTGTCAGGAAGTTGCAAAAGCCAAAACACATATGCCTTGCCTAGGACATTGCAGCCGTCATAAGTGTGAGACAGTTGTCAAGCATCCGAATGTAAATCATGTGACCATGGGGATGACGCAACGGGCCATACATGTGAAAAATGGTCATAAGTTACTTTTTTCAGCTCCGTTGCGACTTCGAACGGTCCCTAAGCGAAGGGTTGTAAATCGAGGACTACCTGTACTAGCTTAGAATTCAGATTTTTCAAATGGGACGGGAGAGAATTTGGAATTCTACGTAGAAATCAGGAATTGACTTTGGAATAGCGCATCTCGTTCCCAGCTGGTTATACACAAGTCTAAATGGACAACCTTTGAGCTGAGGGCTGCAAACTCCCGTCCTCTTTTTAATTTGGATTTTGTCTCTTCCCATCCATCTTTTCTACCTAATGCAAACTTAAACCACAAAGTTTTAACTACTTACTCACTCGGTATGGAAGGTGACCGAAGAGTGCACTTCTATGGATGTCTATTATCAGTCTCCGATCTTCCTCAGCGATACTGTCCCTAAGGCAGATATCTTGTCTTCGGTGTAATACAATGATGTACCGATGGATGCGATATTAACCCTCACGGTAGATTTTCATGCCTGGTATTCCTTGTGTTTTAGGAGCACAAGGCCAGGGTGACGTCCCTGGAACAGCAGGTCGCTCAGGCCAAGATGCGCTATTCCGTAGCCCTGCGCAACCTGGAGCAGATCAGCGAGCAGATCCACGCGCGGCGGCTCCAACGCTTAGTAGGACGGCGCGCTTCCCCAGTTGGTGCTGAAGCTAGCCCGGCGCTGCTGTATGGTGGGATGGTGCTACCTCCTGAGCCCGTTGCCTCGGCCGACACGCTCTCGGTCCTCAGCTTCCAGACCATTGCCTCTGACCTGCAGAAGTTTGACTCGGTTGAGCACCTCCTGGGCCTGTCCGATGCTGCCAGTCTCAACAGCGATGAGCTGGAGGAAAGGGAGCAGCGGCGGATGGCTCAGCCCCACTCCTTTAAGCACCACCGCAGCATCAGCCTCTGACCTGCCCCTTCTCCCGCCACCCCTTTAAGACCCGGCCTTCAGAAGAATGGGGGGGGGGAGTGCTGGTTCCCAGGCACTAGGAGAAGTTGCAAGCGGAGGCATGGCGTCCACAGTGGTTTTTGGCCTCATCCATCTGCAGTGTTGATTCCCCCCCCCCCAGGTGCAAATCCCAGATTTTCTGCCCTTTTAATCTCCCCACCTCAGGGGCTCAAGTCCAAGTTCCAGATTTGGGGGGGGGGGGTTGGACATTTTAACATTCTGAATCCCACCTTACCTGATCTATCAAGCTGCCATCTCCCCAAGCATGCCCCTTTTCCCTGGGAGCATTGCATGCTGGAAGTAATCTGCAACTTTGCACTTTTATCCTGGCTTGTTGGATCCTTGGTAATGTACCGGTAGTTATTCTCAGCTGCTGGAAGGCTGGTCTAGAAGCCGAGAGAAAGAGAAAGAGAGAGAGAGAGAGGTGTGGGAGAGAAGCAGCTTTGCTCCTTTTAATATTTCTTTGGGGGGGGAAAGAGGAATATAGGTGGGCTATAGAGCTATTAGTGTAGAGATGCTCCCCCCCCCTCCACGCCTCTTACTGCATTTGAGAGAGAACTTCCCACACTGCTTTCCCGCAAGGCTAGAGATGACAATAAATGGCTTGTTTAAAGAAGAACTCTGGTGCCCCCACACAGGGCTTCTCACCACCACCCATAACTGACAAGGCATGCTATTTGTCCCTCCTTTGCAACAGGGGGTGCGCGCATGCACACACACACACACACACACACAAAAACAAGATGGCAGCCATCCACCTCTTTCTAGCTTCTAAGCTAGAGCCACGCCCGTCTTGCCTCATTGCAAAATCCAATGGAGAAACTGATACCGCGGTGGTACCGTCCAGCACACTCCCAGGAGAAAAGAGATGTGGGGCAGGAGGCTCCTTCCACCCGAAAGGCCCCCCCCTCCCACCTACCCAATAACCCCCTCAGCACAACCTTTCCTGCCGCGTGTTCTTCTGATCTTCCAATCGTTTGCACTAGCAGGTGGCAAAAGAGGGGGGACTGAGTTTTTTTTTCTTTCTTCTGTTTTCCAGCAGTCCCCGTCTTTCCATGCCTTTTTCGGCAGGTGGGTGGGTGGGTGGGGGCGGCGGGCAAGTTGGGGAGCAGTTTCTGCCACTCTAAAACAAATTTGCTGGACTTTGGCTGTGATGAGAACTTGCCGGTTTGAGGCAGCCATACAGCAACTCTGTACATGTTTGTGTGTGTATGTGTGTGCGTGCGTGCGCGTGGATGTGTGGAGGTTTGTATGACCGGCTTATGCTGTGTATTTTATTTAAAGTAAAATTTATGCCCTATCAAGTGACTTCTTTCTTTCTATTTTGTTAAGTACACCCAGGTACAATATGTGTGTGTGTGTGTGTGTGTGTGTGTGTGTGTGTGTCTCCGCCCCCCCAGCTGTGTTACTGAAAAAACCACGGGGGGTGGGGAGGAAAGAGAGACCTTCTTATGTAGGAAAATAGAGAATTGTAGATGTTTCATCACTCCTTCCCAAAGGTTTTTGCTGCATGAACAAACTGGAGTGATGAGGTAAGCTTCCCCATCCTTGGCAGAACGCAGGGGTGAAATGCTACCGGTTCAGGCCACTCTGCCCGAACTGATAGCAAAAAATGCTTTAACAAAGTAAAAAAAAAAAAGGTTCCAAGGATCGCGTGGCACAGCTGATTGTCACAGCTGATCGTCGGAACCTTTTTTTTTTTTACTTTTTAAAGCATTTTTTTGCTTCCAGTTCAGGTGAATAGGTAGTAAAAAATGCTTTAAGAAGTAAAAAAAAAAAAAAAATCAGCTGTGCCACTTTTTTTTACTTCTTAAAGCATTTTTTACTACCTATTCACCTGAACTGGAAGTAAAAAAATGCTTTAAAAAAGTAAAAAAAAAGGTTCTGACAATCGTATGGCACAGCTGATCGTCACAGCTGATCGTTGGAACTTTTTTTTTTTTTTTACATTTTAAAAGCATTTTTACTATCTATTTACCCAAACCGGAAGTAAAAAAATGCTTTAAAAAGTAAAAAAAAAAGTTGGCCATGCCCACCCAGTTACATGACCGCACCAAGCCACGCCCACCAAGCCACGCCCACAGAACCAGTAGGGAAAAGTTTTGAATTTCACCACCGACAGAACGTGAAAGGTTTTGTAGTTCACGAAACTATATGCCATGCTTGTGAGAGCAAGAAGTACAGACCTTTTCCCTCTACCATATGCAAAACGTGTATCCTGAATGTATCTTTTTAATATGTCTAGTCCTATAACAGGAAAAAAAACAACCAGGAGTTTAAATAGCACCAAAACCAAAATATACTGGAATGTAACTTGAACACAGAGGACAAAAGGGAAAAAAAAGAGGAAAGAACAACAACAAAAAAATAATCTTCAGACAAATATAGAATGTACCAAAAATCAGCCCCCCAATCACAATAGATTTTATTAATATTTTTGGGTTTTTTTTTTAGAGAAAATGTTACCATGCTCAGGAGTGTTTAAAGGCCCAATTTGAACATTTACTGTAATTTATATAATAAATTATCTATGGGGCATGAATTTTGGTACATCCTGTATAACCACATCAAGTCTCAAACAACAAAGGTTGGCTGTATGAAACTATTTATCAGTTTCCCATGGCATCAGTAGAAAGCCAGTTTTTCAGTTAAAAACTGGTCCAGGGTTTTAAATTGGCTGCACTAAAATTGAACCATGTTCGTAGCAGTAGCTACAGATCCAGCATTCTTCATACTTCAATATCATGTAACATGTTCAAAAAGCATGTTTTCCTTTTTTGAGCACCCTATGTACCATTGAAGATTGAACCAAAATTATGGTTTAGAGCAGGCCTAAAATCTGGGCCAGAAACCAATATAACTGCACTTCCAACACACCGAAGGTAAACTCCAACCCTAATTATATATCCTTGAAGAGATCCAGTATACCCAGGAAAGAATATTTTGTTGAATTAATCTCATCCAGGGGTTTTAGACTATCGTTCTAATGAAATATTATCTACTGTACCCTAATTTAAATGATTTGTTAAAACTATGTTCCTACTCAGTATTCCAAATAACTTGCAGCCCATTTCTAGCTTAATAGAAATTTAAAGCTGAACGGGGAAAAAAAAGTAGATTTAGGACCTTTGAAACTTTTTTTTGTATTTATTTATTATTTATTTATTTATTAATCAAATTTCTATACCGCCCTACTCCCAAAGGACTCAGGGCGGTGAACAGCCAAGATAAAATACAGATAATACAAATATTAAAAATCCCTTAAAATTATTAAATATTTTGGCCGAAACAGATTAAAACACCCAATTTATAAAATCACGAATTAAAAATTTAAAAGAGGAGAGATAGGCCAGGCCAGCCTGCTGAAATAAAAAAGTTTTGAGAGCACGACGAAACGTGCGCAGGTCCGGGATCCTCCATATCTCTGGGGGGAGCTCGTTCCAGATGGTAGGTGCCCCCACAGAGAAGGTATGATGATTAAGATAATCTTAATCATCATTTAAGCTCAGATGTAGTTAATGCACCAGGCTCAAATTAATACAATCAAGAGATCTTCTAATTGCAAGTACCACTGCTGAGCAGTCAAATTGTTTTTGCAAAACATCAGATGTTTTGAAAAAACTGATTAGTACAGAACAGGGGTGGGTTCTACTTACCTTTACTACCGGTTCGTAACGGGATCAACTAGAAGTTGGTAAACGGGCCATTTCTGTCCTCCAGAGGGCCTCCAGGGGGGTAGGGAAGGCCATTTTTGCCTTTGCAAAAAATGGGCCTTCTGATCCCACTGTAAATTGGCAAATAGGCTGTTTTTGGCCTCCGGAGGGCCTCCAGGTGGGTGGGAAGGCCGTTTTTGCCCTCCCCAGACTCCTAGAAAGGCTCTGGAGCCTGGGGAGAGAGAAAAACGGGCCTACTGGGCCATCACGTGCCAGGAACGGGGAGTGGGGTCGTGCGTGCATGTGCAGGGGCGGGGTACATAGAATTATGGGTGTGGGCACACGTGCGCGCGGCCCCCCCCCCACACTCTCCCCACTCCTGGTATGCGATGGCAAAAAGGTTAGCCATCACTGCTCTATATAGTAATATGGTCCTCTAAAATATTAATGCTTTTCTGTCTGTGAACTACGGAAAATTGGTTGGCAAGCCTGCTAAGGAAGTGTGTTACCCATAACAACATCTTATGAGAGTTTGGATCACATTTAAATCTGCCTGGCGTATTCCAAACCCATCTTGTAGCTTTTGATGGGGAAGAATCAAGCTGAAGCCAGGACTCTGCTAAAATAGGAAAGGGGCAAGATGACATCTTTCTAAGTTTTGTCTACGGCGATTTTTCAAATAAAAACAACTGATGGATGAAGGCAAGGAAACAACTGAATCTCAGGAAGCAATAGAAGTCAACATATATAGATGTATTAACTGCAATTCCCCCAAATGCTGATTTGAAATTCTGAATAGTAGTGTCCCAACAAAACTCTCCTGTTTTCCTATACATGATATCTTCGTTTTCTGAAAAAAACTTGCTGGGTCACAGTCTTTATGACATGGGTACAATGGTGATGGCTGCAAGCAATTGAGCATAATTGTTTATGCATACTCCCAGAATAGATAAGCATCACCATCTTGAACTGAACACAGAAGCATTTTGAAACGGCCATTAATCTGTTAGGATCTATTATGTTTAATGCTATCCAGATTGGCCCTCTTAGTAATATTTGCATTCTTTGTCCTTAAGACCAATCCATCAGTCTAGCCACATTCACAAGTTTTCAGGGGAAAGCATCTTAATGGGTTTCTTAGGAAGGACATTAGATGATACTGAAAACCAAAGCTAAATAATTGTTCATTCTAGAAGTAGAAATAGAATAACAGGGTTGGAAGGGACTTTAGAGGTCTTCTAGTCCAACCCCCTGCCTAGGCAGGAAACCCTACACCACTTCAGACAAATGGTTATCCAACATCTTCTTAAAAACTTCCAGTGTTGGAGCATTCACAACTTCTGGAGGCAAGTTGTTCCACTGATTAATTGTTCTGTCAGGAAATTTCTCCTTAGTTCTAAGTTGCTTCTCTCCTTGATTAGTTTCCACCCATTGATTCTTGTCCTGCCTCAGGTGCTTTGGAGAATAGTTTGACTCCCTCTTCTTTGTGGCAACCCCTGAGATATTGGAACACTGCTGTCATGTCTCCCCTAGTCCTTCTTTTCATTAAACTAGACATACCCAGTTCCTGCAACCGTTCTTCATATGAACTTCAATTTTATTTCTTCTGTGCATGGATTATCATCATTTTTTCCAGTGCAAACCTCCCATTTGAGAGTATACTCATTAGAATCCATATGACTCAGTCATGACAGGCTATAATTGTTGGAAGCCAAGAAATCAGAAACTTTCTCCAAAAAGGAAATGTTTGACGTGACTGCTGAAATCCCTACCAATGTATCCTTTATTTTAGAGGGCATGAACGTTTGAATAGGCATTAGCAGGAATAGAAAAGAAAGAGGAATATGAACAAGATCATCTGGAGGCAAAATAAGATAAATGCAACAGAATTTTAATTCATTGTGGTTTAATCATTGAGGTGGCGGTGGAGACCCCCAGGCTTATGGTCATGGGGGACTTTAATCTGCCGTCTGTCGGTGAAGCGTCTGAGGTGGCTCGGGAGTTCATGGCTTCCATGACGGCCATGGACCTGACCCAATTAATTTGTGGACCCACGCACATAGGAGGACACACTCTGGATCTGATTTTTGTCTCTGGGCAGTGGAAGAATGATCTCGAGATAGGGGAGATAGTGATTAAGCCCTTGTCATGGTCGGATCATTCCCTTCTTAGGCTTGACTTTCTAACCGCCACACCCCGCTGCAGGGAGGCAGAACAGACCAGATGGTTCCGCCCCAGGCGCCTGATGGATCCTGATAGGTTCCAGACGGAGCTTGGGCCATTTCCTGAGACTCTGACTCATGGCTTGGCTGAGGATCTGGTGGCCGCCTGGGATAGGGCGGCCGCTGATGCTTTGGACCGAGTCGTGCCTGTGCGGCCTCTGACCTGTCGCCGAGTCTACCTGGCTCCTTGGTTTTCCGAGGAGCTGAGGGGGATGAAGCGCCAGAAAAGACGCCTAGAGAGCAGTTGGAGATCTAGTCGCTCCGAATCCGACCGAACACTGGTAAGATCTCATATTAAGACTTACCTAGTGGCGATAAAAGCGGCAAAATGTAACTATTTTTCCGCTCTTATCGCATCGGCAGATAATCGCCCAGCCGCCCTGTTTAGGGTGACCCGTTCCCTCCTTCATCTGGGAGCGCGGGAGGATCCCTTGCAGGGTCGTGCCGAGGATTTTGTCCAGTATCTGCACGATAAAATCACTCAGATTCGGGAAGGCTTGGTCTCTGACTGGGTAGGTACAGACGGGATGATGGGTGTCGGTCTTGAGACTGCCATCTGGGAGGAGTTCGACCCTGTTGCTCCCGAGGACATGGACAGGATACTGGGGCGGCTGAACGCGACCACATGTTTATTGGACCCGTGTCCCTCCTGGTTGGTGCTGGCCTCCCGGGAGGTTACGCGAGGCTGGCTCCAGGGTATTATCAACGCTTCCTTGAGCGAGGGTGTCATGCCGCCCGCCTTGAAAGAGGCGGTGGTGAGGCCCCTCCTCAAGAAGCCTGCTCTGGATCCGGCTGTTTTGGCTAACTATCGTCCGGTCTCCAACCTTCCCTTCTTGGCGAAGGTTGTTGAGAGTGTGGTGGCGCAACAGCTTCCTGGGTACCTGGATGAAGCTGTCTATCTGGATCCGCTCCAGTCCGGCTTCAGGCCTGGGCACAGCACGGAAACGGCATTGGTCGCGTTGGTGGATGATCTCTGGAGGGCTCGGGATAGGGGTTGTTCCTCTGTCCTGGTCCTGTTAGATCTCTCAGCGGCTTTTGATACCATCGACCATGGTATCCTGCTGCGCCGGTTGGAGGGGTTGGGAGTGGGGGGCACTGTTTTGCAGTGGTTCTCCTCCTATCTCTCTGACCGGTCGCAGTCGGTGTTGGCAGGGGGGCAGAGGTCGACCCCGAGGCGCCTTGTTTGTGGCGTGCCTCAGGGGTCGGTCCTCTCGCCCCTTCTGTTCAACATTTATGTGAAGCCGCTGGGTGAGATCATCCGTGGCTTTGGGGTGGAGTTCCATCAGTACGCTGATGACACTCAGCTGTACATCTCCACCCCGGGCCATCCCAACGATGCCCTTGAAGTGATGTCCCGGTGCCTGGAGGCCGTGCGGATCTGGATGGGGAGTAACAGGCTCCGACTCAACCCTTCCAAGACCGAGTGGCTGTGGCTTCCGGCGTCCCGATATAGCCAGCTGGTACCATCGCTGGCTATTGGGGGCGAGTTATTGGCCCCCACGGATAGGGCTCGCAACTTGGGCGTCCTCCTGGATGCACGGCTGTCTTTAGAAGAGCATATGACGGCCGTGGCCAGGGGGGCTTTTTATCAGGTCCGCCTGATTCGCCAGTTGCGTCCCTTTCTGGATCGGGATTCCTTACGCACAGTCACTCAAGCACTCGTCACCTCCCGCCTGGACTACTGTAATGCTCTCTACATGGGGCTCCCCTTGAGGAGTACCCGGAGGCTCCAACTGGTGCAGAATGCGGCCGCGCGGGGGATTATGGGAGCGAGGGGTCGCTCCCATGTGACACCTCTCCTGCGTGAGCTGCATTGGCTTCCAGTGGTCTTCCGGGTGCGCTTCAAGGTGTTGGTTACCACCTTTAAAGCGCTCCATGGCATAGGACCTGGGTACTTGCGGGACCGCCTTCTGCCGCCGATAGCCTCCCACCGTCCAGTACGCTCCCACAGAGAGGGACTCCTCAGGGTGCCGTCGGCCAGGCAATGTCGGCTGGCGACCCCCAGGGGGAGGGCCTTCTCTGTGGCAGCCCCGGCCCTCTGGAACGATTTGCCCCCGGAGATAAGAAGGATATCGGATCTTCGGGTCTTTCGCCGAGCCCTGAAAACTCTTCTTTTCCAGCAAGCAGGGCTGGCGTGAACCCCGCCCCCCTTTTTTAGTTTTTAATGGTTATTAATTGTTTAGTTTTAATTTGTTAATGGGTTTTAATTCGCACTGTTTTAATTCGGGCCAAAGTATATAATTCTTTTAATTAATTTTAAATTTTGTATTGTTATGTATTTTAGTTTTGGCTGTGCACCGCCCTGAGTCCACTAGGAGAAGGGCGGTATATAAATTGAATAAATAAATTGAATAAATAAATCAAGTGACCAAGCAATAAAAATAATTCCAGGAGTGCAAATAATAAATAACGCAAAGCACATACAGAAAAATAACAACCCCCCAAAAACATTGCTTTAACAAGCTGTCTTCCGATGCTGAATCATGAAATACTATAGTTCAGCAGCCCCCTGCGACTTTTAAATTACCCAGTTTGAGTTTTAATACCCTGCTAAACAAAGTAGTTTAATTTTGGCTTAGCTGATGTATGGATCTAATCCCTGTGATTGTAAATCATGCTTGGTAGATCAGTGTATACTAGTGTAAGTTAGGATACTATAGCTTGTTCATCAAGCCGTAGTTGAAAATCATGACAATGAATGAATAAGCCTAGCCAGAAACTTGTCCATAATTCAAGTTTTTCTCATGGATTATCCCTAAGGATCAGTAGTTTTTTTAAAAAGCTGTTTTAGGCTCCATGTAAGCTGCCTCCATGTTTATAGCTTTTGAGACTACACTGGGGTTACATTAAGCCAAACAGGAGAATATCCTTTCTTCCTTCCTAATACCTCCATTCACATCTACTGCATTACCAAATTCATTGTGATGAGTTCACAGGTAGACCTCATTTAGCTATGCTAATTGGGACTGGAAATTCTGTAATTAAGCGATGTTGTCAAAAACTGTGTGACTGCAGTACTTTGTGACAGCAGCTCTGGCATCCTGATTGCTGTTATTAAATGAGGACTACATTTTTTGTTAAGCAAGGACCTTATGTGACTGAGTTGAGATTTCCCGCTGGCTTCATTATGTGACCGTGAGATGCTGTAATAGCTGCAGATTCAAAAGTCCAGTCATAACAGGGGGCTAGACTAGAAGACCTCCAAGGTACCGTCCAGCTCTATTTTATTCTAATATAATTACCTCTCATTCATCACCACCATAAATTCAAATTTATGCTGAACAAGTGATTGTTAAACAAGACCACTTATATTTCTGGCATATTCAAAAGTTTTGCTCCAGCATAAAGTAGTTCTGACTTTTATGCCTCATTTAGGTATGATTTATATGCCTGATTTATACATCTGTTTTTTTTCCCCCAATTCCTTTGGAAAGGCAGTTTCCTCTAGGGAGAAATAATATATCAACTTTGTTCACAAATCATGCTAAAAATCATAGTTGGGGTTTAGAATGCTAGATAAACTCAGCTACAGTGGCTTATAAACCATGTCATATGGATTAGTCTGAGTGTGAGTCGAGTCAAATGCAGTTTCCTCAATAAACCACTTTTAAACAAACCATGTCTTAACCTGATCTATAAACCCACCGCATCCATATTTTCAAAACAAATAGCAAGACAAATATTTTGCTATTTGGGCTGTCTGAAAATATCTTGCAAGAATCTAAACGACATAATTACATAATTCTCATAGCAGAGAAACACATTCTTACATAATATTGTTTACTCGTCTTTCCCTTGCTTATTTCGTCACTTTGCAGTGTTGTGGAATGAATATTCATCCGCTTGCATTCACAGAGTGAAAATGAATTGGAGTTTTCTCAGTCTTCCTGCTAGAGGAATGTTGCCTTTGAACAAAACCACTGGGAGAATATAGCAGTGTTCTTTGGTAACATCCAGCATATAAACAGTAAATGGGGTTTTGTGATGAACTTGGGAGGGGATATTTTCCCAAAAGGAATTTGGTGCATCTATACTTTTTCTTTTGTCCTTTCCATGCTATTATAATTGGATTGTGATCTGCCCAAAGATTTGAGTCAATATTTATTTTTTGTATATTGTCTATTAAATCTGATGACATCCATATCATGTCTGTCCTGGACCATGACAGGTGTCTATTTGAATTAAAAGGTATATTGTTTTCCTTTCAAATGTCTATTTCTCCATACATCTTTGAATCAAACAATTCTAAATGAAAAAGAATTTCAACAATTTATGGAAAAAGAATTGGAGTTTTTCTTCAGAATAAGGAATTTGGTGCTTTGGTAAAATCCCAAGGCAAGATGCTACCTGGAAACGGAAGAACAATCTCTTCCCTTTGCAGGCATCGCCTTCAACTTTCGTTCAGGCAATTGAGGAATTCAAGCTCTTGTCAGTCCCAAAGTGGAGGTGAGAAGGATTGCTGCCTCTCTGGTGTCCGAATCCCTCTCCTTGCTTGGTGAGGTGGGCTCCATCCACGGGAATCTCACTACAGTTGTTCAGCCTGAAGCAGGATAGACGTCGGATAAATAAAACTAGAAGAGAAGGAAGGGCACAAGTGAAGCCATGCCCATCACCACATCATCACACCAATGGCACAAGTTTATAACAGGTTTCATTTCTGCAATAACATCAGGGGCCACATGGCATTGTGGTTTCTACCACTTGCCTTTTCCTCCAACTATTTCAGCCTGCTAACGGGAAGACAGAGTAATCCCGGTCTGGTCTGCCTGTTTCTAGCCATGCCATTCAAATCAAAAGGAAGGGCCCTCCAGCTGTGGCATCAATGAGATGCTGCCCTAACTTGTTCCCAGAGCAACGGTTGAATCTGGTTCCTCATCTGCAAACATTTAAAAAGGAACTGCGAAGAACAGCAGCTAATTGCCTAGCAACCATCAAGCCTGTATCCAATTTCCTTTCCCTTCTCCCACTGTGCATTTTATTTTTCTTTCCTTCTTCCTGATGCATTGTCTTTGGTAGAGGAAGAAACCTGATGTTCTTTCTGCAGCTCAACCTGACACCTTGAGAGGTGGATTGCTGTTTTCCTTCACCTTCCATATTTTGGATCCCTTCCTCCCCCACTTTCAGTGTCTTGACTCACACTTTCCATGGCTGTTGTAAAGGTTGTTGTGTGTTGCACACACTAAGGCAGTGGTGAAATCCAATTTTTTTTACTACCGGTTCTGTGGGCGTGGCTTGGTGGGCGTGGTGTGGTTTGGTAGGCATGACAGGGGAAGGATACTGCAAAATCTCCATTCCCACCCCACTCCAGGGGAAGGATTTTGCAAAATCTCCATTCCCACCCCACTCTGGGGCCAGCCAGGGGTGGCATTTGCCGGTTCTCCAAACTGCTCAAAATTTCCGCTACCAGTTCACCAGAACCTGTCAGAACCTGCTGGATTTCACCCCTGCACTAAGGGGGGATATGTAGCAAACCACTTGGGGATAATATGAGCTGTACAAGTCCTCAACTTACAACAGTTCAGTTAGTGATGGTTCAAATTTACAATGGCACTGGAAAAAAAAGTGACTTATGAGCATTTTTCACACTTACAATCTTTGCAGCATCCCCCATGGTCATGTGATCAAAATTCAGATACTTGGCAACTGACTCATCATATTTATGACGGTTGCAGGGTCCCAGGGTCATGTGATTCCCTTTTGCAACCTTCTGATGAGCAAAGTCAATGGGGAAGCCTGATTCACTCAAACGACCATGTTTTACTAACTTAACAGCTGCAATAATTGTGGCAAGAAAGGGTATAAAACGGGGCAAAATTCACCTAAAAACTGTCTCATTTAGGAACAGAAACTTTGGGCTCGATTGTGGTCATAAGTCAAGGACTACCTATATTTGCAAGATATACATGCCGGGTTTTATTCAGTTCTATTTTCTTGTCTGATGAAATAAGCTGAATCATGAAACACTGTCTGGCTTTGTGGCTCTTAGGTTGTGGGCTCCAGCTGTCTTGAGAAGCCCGTCATAGATTCATGGGTGACGTATTGCATGGCATTTGTGACAGAGGTGGGTTTCAGAAGATTCTGACCAGTTCTGGAGAACCGGTAGCGGAAATTTTGAGTAGTTCGGAGAACCGGTAGTAAAAATTCTGACTTGCTCCGCCCCCATCTATTCTCTGCCTCCCAAGTCCCAGCTGATCAGGAGGAAATGGGGATTTTACAGTAACCTCCCCCTGGATTGGGGAAGGAATGGAGATTTTACAGTATCCTTCCCCTGCCACGCCCACCAAGTCACGCCCACCAAGTCATGCCACGCCCACCAAGCCACACCCACAGAACCGGTAGTAAAAAAAATTGAAACCCACCACTGATTGGTGACCCAGGAGGCCACAAATGCCATGCAATGTGTGGATTTAGAGGTCAGAGGAGAGAGACAGCGTCTTCTCCATAATGCTTCTAGTTTCTTTGTTGTCCCTGGCTCTGCAGTTAAATACAGCGGCATCCAGGGGAAGCGTCAAAAAAGGTCATAGTGCAGCCGCCCCTTATGTGTATTACAACCCATGTTAAAAAGAGGAGGGGGTCCAATTGTCCTACTTGACATTTTTACCACCCTCCCCCATCAGCCCTGCAGAATTCTAGAGCAGGGGCGTCCAACCTTGGCAACTTTAAGACTTGTGAACCACAACTCCCAGAATTCCCCAGCCAGCATTCTGGAAGTTGAAGTTCATAAGTCTTAAAGTTGCTAAGATTGGATGACCCCCAACCCCTGGGGCCGTGGCCCACTACTGGGCCTTGAGCCAATCAGAATCGGGCCATGGAAGTGACGGGCAAGCACATCTGTGTGCATCCCCCCTTGTGCGAGCAGCAGGCGAGTGCATCTCCGCATGCGCTGCCGCTCTTGCAAATGGAGCTGTGCACATTTCCCCGCCACTCATGTGGAACCATCCCCTCCCTCCCCCGTTTGGCTGCATGCCAGGAAGATTGGGGAACTCTACTCCAGAGGATCATGGCAGAGAAGGGACAATAACAGCCTCCCCCTCCACCAAGAAGCCTTTTGTGATGTCCTCCAACAGCTTTTGTTCCCGTGCTGTTTGCACTTTCTCTGCAGAGACCTTGGAAATGTGGGCTATTGGCTCTGTAAAAGGCTGGTAAATAATAAGAGGTCAATAGGTTTTGTGGGATTATTGATATGATTACCCAGACTCATCCCCACAGGTCTGGAGCTTCAAGTGGAAGATAAGAATGCTCTCAGTGTTGCTTCTGGGGAACTCCTGGGTTCAAAACCTCTCTACTGTCTCACAGGTCAAGGGAAGCATCAAGCATAATCATTAGACCAGTTGTGGAACATACTGCCAATAAGCTGACACTCAAAACTTTTGTATGTTTTAATTTTTGCAATCAGCTTATCTGTGGGTGGCACACTTTTCATTAAATTTTGGTTAAAATGTGGGGGTCAATTTATAGGCTTATCCATCAGTATTTATATAGGTAGTTAAAAAAATGTATCACCATATATATTCGTGGGGGGAAAAAACATCCACAAATAAACGGAATCCAATTTTGGTGTATTTTGGAACCTAGAATTCTCAGTTTATCCACAAGTTTATACAGTGTGTGTGTGTGTGTTTTAAACATTCCCGGAAGTCTTAATCAAGAGGCAAATCGCTAGTGACAGAAAATTGGCTGCATGAAGCCTGCACAACTGGAAAGTGCCAAATTAAGCGCAACCATCCAAGAGAGAGAAGAACGAGAACTTTGAAACATCTGGAGTTCTCTCCACTGCATTTGCAGACTTACCAGGTGTTAAAATGCTTCTCTTATGAGCTGCCATCTTGGGCCAGCTGATTGCTATTTCCTCTGATGGGAAGTGTGTGTGTGTTGTGGCCCGTCAGCGGCCTGTGCAACTAGTAGCTAATTCTGACAGCGAGGAGGCTGGTGTGGTGCTGCGCCAGCAGCCTGTGCAGTTGGCCCTCGAGTCAGACAATGAGGAGGCTGGAGAAGATGTGGTGCCAGAGGTGGGGATTCAGCCAGGGCCTTCAGAACCTCCAGAAGCTCCCTTAAGTGAAGAGGACGAAGAGGAGGAGCCTCTTCTTGATGCATGGGCGTGCAGAGCTGCCAAAAGGCAGGAGTGGCTCCTCCGGAGGAGGTCTCCTCGTGAGTAAGGCTTGGGGCTAATTGGCCACTCCCTTAGCCTATTTAAGGAGGAACGCCAACTGAAGCAATTTGCAGGGAACAACTTCGTTCACATACCTTCGTGTCTTGTCTTGCTTATCTTATCAGCTTCCTGCAAATTGCCTCTGGGCATTCTGCCAACCACAGGAAGCTTTCAGTATTATTCTTTGAATTCTTGGCGGATGTTAATGCAGTTAATTAACAGCCATTGTTGTAAAAAACTGATTTAGTAAACTAAGGTTTGAATGGACTTTGTGTGTGCTGCGTTCTTTGGGGTCCATAGCTGGGGCAGAACAGTGGGGGGGGGGAGTGGGCGGGAGAGAAGAGAGTTAGAAAAGTAGTCAGAGACAATGCTTTACTTTTCCTTACTTAACACCGGGGGTGTCCACAGTGTGTGTGGATGTGCATGCCTGTCAAAAAAATCAAGATGGCAGCCATGACCATGTGTGAATGAACCACTGGGCCTTTGTGATGTGTATTGGACAAGAACCACTGTGGTTAAAAAAACTATGTCCCAAAGGCACTTTTTTTTTCCCAAGAGGCAATTGGAATTTCTGATTTTTCTTTGAAGATGTTTCGCTTCTCCTCCAAGAAGCTTCTTCAGCTCTGACTGGATGGTGGGGAATGGAAGGATTTCTATTCCTTGCAGACAGCAATAAATCCTTCCATTCCCCACCATCCAGTCAGAGCTGAAGAAGCTTCTTGGAGGAGAAGGGAAACGTCTTCAAAGAAAAACTAGAAAGTCCAGTTGTCTCTTGAAAAAATAAAGAAGCATCTTTGGGACAACCATGACCTGGATGACTGAGAATCTCCATAGACACTTAAAAAACTATGGTTTATGAAATCATTGTGTGAACCCAGAGAACTGTGGCTTGTTCAGAAAGTTCCAGTTAAATAAAAATTAGTGTGAAAAGCGAATAAGGTTTGTAATAATATTTTTTTAAAAAATGCTCACAAGGTTTATTGGTGGGAGAACTAAGCCAAAAAAAAAAAAGAGGACCTGAATGTAAATCAACTACATCCCAACCAGTGGTAAAATCCAAATTATTTTTACTACCGGTTCTGTGGGCGTGGCTTGGTGTGTGTGATAGGGGAAGGATACTGCAAAATCCCCGTTCCCTCCCCACTCCTGGGGGAAGGATATTGCAAAATCCCCATTCCCACCAGATCTCCTGTATGGAGAATTAGTGCAAGGAAAGCGCCTCAGAGGGAGACCACAGCTGTGATATAAGGATATCTGCAAGAGGGACCTAAAGGCCCTGGGAATGGACATTAACAACTGGGAAACCTTGACCTCCGATCGTTCAGCTTGGAGGCTAAAGTCACAGCATGGCCTTCTCCAATTCGAAGAGACACTTGTTCGGCAGGCTGAGGCAAAGAGGCAGTCCCAGAACCAGCGAAATCTGGGGGCTGGGCAGGGGACAGAATGTATCTGCCTTCAGTGTGGAAGGGATCGCCACTCTCGAATTGGCCTTTTTAGTCACACTAGATGCTGTTTTAGGACCTCTTTCCAGAGCACGATACCATAGTCTCTTGAGACTGAAGGATGCCAATGGAACTACTCAAAATTTCTGCTACCGGTTCTCCAAACTGCTCAAAATTTCCACTACTGGTTCTCCAGAACCTGTTAGAACCTGCTGGATTTCACCCCTGATCCCAACCTGGTGTTCTCCATATGGGTTTGGACACAGACCCATGTTTCCTAGCTCATATGACCAAATTCATTCATCAACAAACAAGTCACCATGTGATTAGAAAGACCTAGAATTGAGTGGTAGAACACGGGCCTTACAAGAAGGTGTTTACTGAAACCTTACCTTAACGTTCTTGATTACTCTGACTCTGAGATAAAGCTGGGCCAGGGAAACACTTTTCCAGGCATCAGGAAGCCTCAGACCTTGGACAGCTGCTTCTCATCAGGACCAGGACTAGTATCAGATTCAAAATGACAGCAGCCCAACCTGCCCTAAGCGGTGCCAACTTCCAGGTGGGTTTCACTAAAGTAGAATGGCTCTTGTGTTGGGTACCTCGCCCATACTGGCAGCAGATGCCCCCAGGAGGCATAGGCAGAGATCTGCTTTGAAGCTTGACCAGCGTGGATTGATTTTGCAGTTCTGCTGCCAATGCTCTGAATTTGGTTGAAAGGGATACCGTCTTGGGCACTGGAAAGGAAGATAGCTGGGTTTCCCCCTTCATTTCCCCACACTCCAAATTGGTGGAGAGTCCTACTGAGTCCAAGATCTTTCTTCTCATAAATCTATCTCAGTCAGGACTGTTGCCTTGCCCCTTTCTCCTGGCCCGGGGCACGGCTGGGCTTTTACACAAGGTTGTGTCTTCCGCCGCTGCTGAACCCCTCTGCTCATCCTAGGGAAGGGATCCCGCGCTTCCCTGCGCAACTCCATCACTTCTGCCGAGTGCTTTCTCCTCCGCTTGGCCCTCCTTCGCCTTGCGAGCACCTGGGGCTGACGGGAGGGGTGGGGGGTGGGGGGTAAACCCCTGAAAAACGAGGGGTCCCCCTCCTCCACTCAATGCATTGTTATTGGCGACTCTCAGCCACCACCCCCATCCCCCCCACCCCTCCCACCCGGGCAGACACCCGCCCGCACCTACGATTTCAAGAGGTTTCAGACCGGCTTGCTATTGCGAGGACACAGGAAGGGGCTGGAGCAAACCGGTGGTGGTGCTTGGATTTGATGCTGAGGGGAGAGGAGGGGGAGGCAGGAAGGCGGGGAGGCGGAGGACCATAAAGAAAAGCCAAGGAAGAGCCGGACTCGGCGCTGGTGGGACGGGGGGGGGGTTGCCTGCCCACGGTCTGGGGCTGCCTCCATCTCGCAGACGGCAAGCGGGGGGGGCTTCCCGGTCCCCCCCCTCTGCATTCCCCCCCAAAGGCCGGGAGGTGCGCCAAGACGGCCCGGAGGGAAGACCTGGGGCCGGGAGGCGAGAGATTTCCTCATTGTTTGAACGGCTGGGGTCGAGATCCCTCGAGGGACCTGCTGCAGCCGAAGAGGGCAGGTAGGAGAACGCCTGGAGGGGGAGAGGAGACCCGTGGTGGTGGGGGGGGGGAGAGGCGAGGAGAGTGACCCTCTCCCCTATGGAGCAGCCTTCGCTCTTTGCCCTCTCCCCGCCCCCTTCCACAATTCTCCCCATACACACCGGAATGGGCGGGGGGGGGGGGCGATCAGCTCTTCAAAGAAAGGGATCGGTGGGGATCAGCCAGGATCGGGATGGAAGAAACCCAGGGAAACTTCGGCAGGAGCCCTCTTCAGGTCCCTTCTCCCCGAACCGAACAATGGTCCAGCCCCGCCAAAGGGAATTCGGTCGTCTTCAAAAGTTTCTCTTTGGAGATCTGGGAACCCAAGATGTCTAGGAGCCCCTCCGCTCCGCCGGGGCACGGTTCCTTTGTGCAGTTCCCAGCAATTCTGCCACACGCCTGCCTCCTTACCTGGAACTGTAAAGGTGTTTGGAAAACGCAGGTTTTGCAAAACAAAAAACAAACAAACAAAAAACAACCCTAAGGATGCAGAACAAGCCTTAGATCTTAATTGCTCTGAAATATCTGCTATTTTGCACTAAAGATGCCAGGGAGAAAGAATGTAGGTTGGTAGGATCCTGGTATTTACAGAAGTTCCTCTGGATAGCTTTGGATCACAATCTCTCTTTCTGCTACAGCTTCTCTCCTTCATGAAATGGGAATAAGAAGTGATCTAACAAAGATGATTAGGGGACTGGAGGCTAAAACATATGAAGAACGGTTGCAGGAACTGGGTATGTCTAGTTTAATGAAAAGAAGGACTAGGGGAGACATGACAGCAGTGTTCCAATATCTCAGGGGCTGCCACAAAGAAGAGGGAGTCAAGCTATTCTCCAAAGCATCTGAGGGCAGGACAAGAAGCAATGGGTGGAAACTAATCAAGGAGAGAAGCAACTTAGAACTAAGGAGAAATTTCCTGACAGTGAGAACAATTAATCAGTGGGACAACTTGCCTCCAGAAGTTGTGAATGTTCCAACACTGGAAGTTTTTAAGAAGATAGATAGATAGATGATAGATAGATAGATAGATAGATAGATAGATAGATAGATAGATAGATAGATAGATAGATGATAGATAGATAGATAGATAGATAGATAGATAGATAGATGATAGATAGATAGATAGATAGATAGATAGATAGATAGATAGATAGATAGATAGATAGATAATTTTATTTCTATACTGCCCCTCTCCCGAAGGACTCGGGGCAGTGCACAGCCAAGTAAAAAACACAATACAAATCCCAATTAAATTTAAAAATTATTAAAATTATTACATTTACGACCAAGTTTCATTAAAAAACCCAAAAATTTAAAACTCCGAATTTAAAACTACTTTACAAAGATAGCCCTGCCTGTCAGAAGAGCAGGGTCTTGAGGGCACAGTGAAAAACTCGGAGGTCAGAGATTGTGCGTATTTCCGGGGGCAGTTCGTTCCAAAGGGCAGGAGCTACCACAGAGAAGGCTCTCCCCCTGGGTGTCGCCAGCCGACATAGTTGGATAACTATTTGTCTGAAGTGGTGTAGGGTTCCCTGCTTAAGAAGGGGGTTGAACTAGAAGACCTCCAAGGTCCCTTCTAACTCTGTTATTCTATTGTATTCTACTTCACTATCCTTTCTGAGATGGGAAAGACCCAGGGATGATTTAAGAGCAAGGGGAACTAAACTGATTGAGGATTTAGTCCATTTTTTAATAGAGGTAGGTAATTACTGCCAGGTATTCCCTTATTAATAAAGTTCAATACAGTGAGGTAAGAAAAAAAATCTACCTATATTCTGTCTTAAATCAAGAGACATTTACCATTTTTTTCATACCCACAATAGCCAAGATTGGTTCCTCTGAATTTTTGTTTTAACGTGCAGATCTGATTCACACACTATGATTAAGCAAATTTGTTTGGTTTTGGCAAAGCATGTTGTGTTTTTTTTTAAAAAAAAAAAACATTGATCAAACAAATCATGATTTAGGATATTTGAAAGTCAGCCACCTGCTTCTGGAGGAAGCAATTCTGGACTGATATCTCCTTTTCTTTCAGGCATATTTGTTGATTAAAATAAATCTTCATAATTGTCTGTGACTGCTTGATTGGCATTTTCAAAATTATTCAGAGCCAAGTGCCTTTTAGAAAATATGTTAATCTTGGATTAGGCCTTTGAAAATAAGGGGTTCAATATATAAGATTGATATAGTTACTTATACATGTGCGCACACAACCTATGATTCAATTATCTGATGCTCTGCTTTTTAAATTCCATTGTATGAGGATCAATAAAGGGAGAAAGAGATTTCGGTATTAGTTGGTCATTTCTAACTCCCTTGTATCAGGAAAAGACTTGAATGGGATGTGCCTGTTTGCTTTGCACAGACCCTGGTAATCTCCATCACTATTGAAAACCCTCCAGTATAAAACCCCCGATAAACTTCTTGCGATGGTATTCATTACCTAGGCATTTCCTTGTATGCTGTTTTATGGCTTAGCAAACTGCTTTCTTCAAATCAGGATAATCCTTAATTAAAAGAGCAGTAGGCAGGTTTTCAGATCTAGGAAAGATGTACAACTAGGTTTGTTCATAAACATGTTGATTTCTCTTGAATTCTCATGGGCCAGTTTTCCTGAAGGTTGATCAGAATGAATGAAATCACTATACGTTGTCAGCTGAGTTGATAAGGAGTTTTCATCGGCAATGATTTATGTGCAGTTGTCATCACTTGATGGATGACTGGACCATCATAAGGTCCAGTCATAGTTTAAGGATTGATTAAGGAAGACTGCTGCTTCCTTTGATGTGTTGGACTGCTATTCCTCTCCTTCAGGTTGACTTGGAATTAAAGGTGTTGTTATCCAAGACATTTGGAATGGCTACTACAAGTCCAGAAAGACTTCCATATTGTAGGTCTGTTCTTCAAAGTGGAATATCGGAAACTTGAACCTGAGCTAGGATGCAGCCAAGATTTAGCACTAAAAATAGCAACTTCCTTTTGCAGGGACTTGAGTATATTTTAGTCTTCCAGATCTTTACAGCTTTTAGGAACCAGGTGATGATTTCCACAGCATCCTCACTTCAGTCTGTGGTGGCAATGTAGAGTTGACCATCATTGACTAGACAATCCTTATCCATTGGTCCAATGTTTTAGATATCTCCTGATCAGATTCCTCAATACTCCCAACAATGACAGAACTTCTAAAGTACTTGAGGAGTCCTAAAAAAATTAGGGAGATCTTGAGAGCTATATCTGCCTTGAAAGCGGCCCATGTTGAATTACACTGTACAGTCAAACATTAGGAGCTGATCGCAGGAAGTGTTTTATGATATGTTGTATGATGTCATAAAATGCTTTATGATGATTTTTATATCATAAAATGTATCGTAAAATTTGCCAAATTTCAATTCCATTGGAGACACAGATTTGGGATGCATGCTGTAAATTGGCGTATTTGAAGTACCTTGGTTGAAAAAGTGTTGCCCTATGATGCACTATTTCGCCCAGTTAAAGGTTACAGACATGAGCATTTTAGTAGTATATAGGTTTACTGATTGCTATCACTGATGATGTTACCTAGTTGGGTAATGAAACATTTGCAAGAAAATAACCAAACTCAGAGAACACCAAAGACTCCACAGATATACTGTTGATACTTCATCCCAAATCTTGCATCTCACCCAGGCACTGAAATCAGGGCAGAGGTCCAATTCATAGGAGACAGGACTCAAGCCTCAGAGAACCCTAAGGTAGGGGTGTCAAACTCGATTTCATTGAGGGGTGGGCATGGCCAGGGTGGGCATGGTCAGCTTGACATCACTCGTGTCGCGGGTGCCTGTGGTGGCCTGAGCACTCTTTCACGAAAACAGAGCTCAGGTGGGCCGCATGTGCTCTCCCAGGCCCCGTTTTCAGCCGCAACGGCCTCCTGCAGCCCTCTGCCAGCAAAAACAGCTTTGTTTTCTCTGGCAGAGGACTGCAGGAGGCTGTTTCAGCCAAAAACAGGGCCTGGGAGGGCCACACGCAGCCCTCCCAAGTTCCATTTTTGTTGGCAGAGACACCATGGGCTGGTCCTTTGCTGTTTCCAGGGCAGCCCCACGGGCCAGATCTAAACATCCCACAGGTCGGATCCAGCCCCCAGGCCTTGAGTTTGACATCCCTGCCCTAAGGCATTGTCAGATTCACCTCCTTATTCCCTGCCCAAATGGAGTTCCACATCTATGTGAATGCAAGCAAGATAACCTGCAAAAACACCTCATAGCAGCCTGGTTACTCTCTTGCTAGGTAAAATGTGATATTTAGTTCAACATCAGTGATGATTATGAACAGACTGAGGATAGGATCTAGTTTCAGCATATTTAGAATTGAAAGTAGGAGATCTAGCATTATCTTACCTCCATAAATAACTCCAACAGAACCAAGCGGGTTGGGCATCAAACTGATAATCCAGATGCAAACATAAAGTTAGCAACTGTATTTTAAAAGGCAGTGTGTCCTGACTTCCAAGTGAGTGCTATTGCTGTTATAGTTATTGCATTTCCCTGCTTATTAGCCATTGCCAGAAGAAGAGATTGTTATAGAATAATAGAACAGAACAGAATAGAACAGAACAGAACAGAACAGAACAGAATAGAATAGAATAACAGAGTTGGAAGGGACCTTGGAGGTCTTCTAGTCCAACCCCCTGCTTAGGCAGGAAACCCTACACCACTTTAGACAAATGGTTATCCAACATCTTCTTAAAAACTTCCAGTGGTGGAGCATTCACAACTTCTGGAGGCAAGTTGTTCCACTGATTAATTGTTCTAACTGTCAGGAAATTTCTCCTTAGTTCTAAGTTGCTTCTCTCAATGTTATGTGTCAATGGTGTGAATAACATTGTTCTTGTTTTAGGAGCTGGTTCATTGTCTGGAGGTGACTTGGGACAATGATGGAGAATCAGTGGCTAGTTGTAGATCCTAAGCAGAAGCCTTACAAAGAAACTCACCAGGAGACCTGTGAAACTCTAGTGGCACTGAGTAAATATAATTTTATTTGCTTACTATATGTATATAACCAATATAAATAACCAAAGAGCCATGGTGGCGCAGTGCAATACTGCATCATCATGCAGTATTGCAGTCTAATTCTGTCAATCGCCAGCAGTTCGATCCTGACCAGCTCATGGTTGACTCAGCCTTTCATCCTTCCAAGGTTGGTAAAATGAGGACCCAGATTACTGGGGGCAATAGGCTGACTCTGTAAACCCCTTGGAGAGGGCTGTAGAGCAGCATACATGGTTATCCTTGACTCCTTACCTTGTGGCCGAAAGACCGGCAAAGTGACAATACTTGCCTATTTCTATTTGCATCCACAGATAGCTGTTTTGCAGCCTTGTTTCAGATAACATGTTGCCCTCTTGGGTAAGGGAGGGGGGCAGTGGTGAAATCTGAACTGGTTTACTACTGGTTTGCTGGCCGCGCAAGCGCCAAATGTACACTGCATGTGGGCACCAAATGCGAGCTGCACCGCACAGTGTGCACCAAAAGGAGGCTTGGGAAGGTATGTAGAACAGCACGTGGGGGGGGGGGTGATCAGCTGTGGCGCGCAGGGGAACCTTTTTAAAAGCATTTTTTTACTACTGGCTCAGGCGAATAGGTAGTAAAAAATGCTTTTTAAAAAGTAAAAGAAAAGTTCCAAAGATCTCACAGCACAGCTATGATCGTCGGAACCTTTTTTTAAAACTTTTTTAAAGCATTTTTTTACTACCTATTTGCCAGAGCCAGTAGTAAAAAAATGCTTTTGGTTAAAAAAAGGCTCTGACGATCACAGCTGTGCCGTGCGATCGTCGGAACCGTTTTTCTTTAACCTTTTAAAAGCATTTTTTTACTACCGGCTCGGGTGAATAGATAGTTAAAAAATGCTTTAAAAAAATAAAAAAAAGGGTCCAACAATCAGCTGAGTGACGTGCGATTGTTGGAACTTTTTTTTTTTAAACTTTTTAAAGCATTTTAAACTACCGGTTCTGGAGATCCGGTAGTAAAAAAATGCTAAAAAAGGGGGAAAGGGGGGAAAAGTTCCGACAAATCGCTCAGCTGATTTGTCGGAACTTTTTTAAAAACATTTTTTACTACCGGTTTGGCGAACTGGTAGCATTTTTTACTGCCGGTTCGGGTGAACCGGCCCAAACCGGTAGCATTTCACCCCTGGAGGGGGAGGGGGAATCAGAAGTCCTCTTTCAGGGCTGTGCAAAAGAATTTGCTCAGCATGTCAGCCAAAATCTCTCAAATTTGTTCTCATTTGGATGCCAGCCTTGGGGGAGTGCAGATCTTGGGGGGATGTCTGCAGTGGTGGGATTCAGCCAGTTCGCACCACTTCGGGAGAACCGGTTGTTAACTTTCTGAGCAGTTTGGTGAACTGGTTGGTGGAAGAAATCATTAGGACAGAGAACCGGTTGTTAAATTATTTGAATCCCACCACTGGATGTCTGATACAGCATCTTACTCTGTTATCTCAACCTGGTGGCCTGAAAAAGTGGATAAGGTCCTTATGACTTTGACCTAAACCACTTCTCTTTTAACTAAAGCTGGCCAGGGGCGTTGTGTGTGGGGGTTCTAGCAGTGGTGACTACTTCCTTGGGTGAGAGGTTTGTTCCTCCATCTCTTAAAGACATTCTGGTTCACCTACACCTCAAGAAACCATTGATGGATCCCACTATGCAGGTAGTCCTCGACTTACAACCACAACGGAGAGCCCAAAATTTCTGTTGCTAAGTGAGACATTTGTTAAGCGAGTTTTGCCTCGTTTTATGACCTTTCTTGCCACAGTTGTTAGGTGAATCACTGCAATTGATAAGTTAGTAACACGGTTAAGTGAATCTGACTTCCCTGCTGACTTTGCTTGGCAAAAGGTTGCAAAAGGTGATCACATGGGACACAGCGACGGTCATAAGTATGAACCAGTTGCTAAGCATCTGAGCACATGATCATGGGGCTGATACAAAGGTCGTAAGTGTGAAAAATGGTCATGCGTCGCTTTTTCCAGTGCTGTTGTAACTTTGAATGGTCACTTAATGACCTGTTGTAAATCGAGGACTACCTGTAGTGGACAATTTTTGTCTAGTATTTAACTCCCCCTTTTTGGGAAAGGTGGTGGAGAAGAAGGTCACTCAGCAGTTGCAAAGGACCCTGGATAAAGCAAATTATTTGGACCCTTTTCAGTCAGGATTAAGGCCTGGCTATGGGATGGAAATGGAATTGCTCAGACTTTTAGATGATCTTTGGCGGGAATGGGTTGTGGATTGCATGTTTGGGAGGCATCAAGATGTAGAAGGCTATGGGGCGACTATTACTGGGATTGGACCCGTAGTGGGTTTCAATTTTGGCCGCTACCAGTTTGCTCATGGGTGTGTGCGTGCTCGCGCATGCGACACTTCTGCGCATGTGCAGAGACATCCGGGTGGGTGGGCGGAGCCTCCCGCAGCCGCTGCTACCAGTTCGCCCGATCCGGGGTGAACCGGTAGCAACCCACCACTGGATTGGACTTATTAAGCTATCTCGTAATTAGTAGGTTTATGGGTAAGCATCAGAGGTGGGTTTCAGCAGGTTCTGACCAGTTTTGGAGAATCGGTGGCGGAAATTTTGAGTAGTTTGGAGAACCGGTAAATACCACCTCTGACTGGCCCCACCCCCCACCTATTCTCTGCCTCCCGAGTCCCAGCTGATCGGGAGGGAATGGGGATTTTGCAGTAACCTTCCCCTGGATTGGGGAGGGAATGGGGATTTTGCAGTATCCTTCCCCTGCCAAGCCTGCCAGGCCACGTCCACCAAGCCACATCCACAGAACCAGTAGTAAAAAATTTTGAATCCCACCACTGGTAAGCATGTTGTGGAAACTGGGCCCATCGTTATGTCGGAGGTGTGATGCATTTTCTCTGGATGAACAAGGAAGTGGTCCCTGGATTGATGTAGAAGCTGCAGCTAAAGAGGAGAACAAATAAAAAAAAAAGGTTGGAACCAAGCAAACCAGCAAAGTTAATTAGTGTATCTTGCTTTTTTTCTTCTTCAAGCAGGATCTTCAAGTTCCAAACCCAGTGAGATTTTCTTGGTGAAAGAGGAAGAGGAATCCAGCATCCTGGAGCCTGGTAGTAGGGAGAACCCAAGAAGAGCCAATTTAGGTGAGGAGAGGGGGGGGGGTTGTCAGCCAGGTTGGAGGTCTCAGCTTTTCCTTTCAGTATGTTTTCCTTCACACTTTAGTGGATCGGTGGGAACATGAAGCTTACCTCCATTTATGCTCTAGTCTGACAAGGGTCAAGTCTTGATAGAGCCTTGATAGTACAGTGGTCTAAGCATCCTGTTATTAACACAGCTGCCTGCAATTTACTGCTGGTTCAAATCTCTCCAAGGCTCAAGGTTGACTCAGCCTTCCATCCTTTCTAAGGTAGCTGAAATGAGGACCCAGATTGTGGGGGCAATAAGCTGACTTTGTATAAAATATACAAAAGAATGAAGGCTATTGCTTAACGCATTGTAAGCCGCCCTGAGTCTCCGGAGAAGGGCGGCATATAAATCAAATTAAAAAAAAAAAAAAGTCAGTGGCCTTGAATAAGATTTAAGCAAGAGTAAAGGGTAGAATTTCTCCCCTCTCTGGCCCCTCAAAAAGCTAGAAAGAGGTTTGGGAAATGGTGCTCCATGATAAAATGATCAAATCTGGGTTGGAAAAACCAAAATGGTGGTGGTGAATGAGAGAGAAAGTGTGTGTGTGTGTGTGTGAGAGAGAAAGAGAGAGAGAGTGAGTGAGAGAGATGCAAAACATTTTTCAAAGCTTTGCAACACAATTCACGCACAAAAGCTCTCTCACACAAATATATTGCTGAAAAATATATTTATGTAACTATCACTTGCTTATTTGTTTTATTTACATCCCATCTTTTGTACAGGAGTTGAAGGCAGTGTACATAATGCTACCTCGTCCTGTTTTTTTCCCTATAGTAATATTTTTATGGACTTAGAGCAGGGGTGGGTTCTACTTACCTTTACTACCGGTTCGCAACGCCGCGCACACACACTCTTCTGGGCAAGTGCAGAAGCATTTTAATGACATCAGAGCCAGTGGGCGGAGCCTCCTGCCGGTTTTACTACTGGTTCTATAGAACCGGTGCGAACTGGGGGCAACCCACCCCTGGCTTAGAGTGACAGGCACGGGGTACTCGGGAGCTTCTGTGGCTGAAGTTTGGCCTAGAATTCACATCTCTCCACTTGTAGTCCTACCCTTCCCCCACTAAACCACACAGGAATCATGAGGAACTGGAGATTCAGACATTTGGTGGAGGTGTATTTGATCTGAGAGATAAGCCGTGAAATGTGGCAGTAATAATGGGGTGTTTTTCAAATTAAAAAGGGGTAGATGAATTTAAAGGGACATGGTGGCTCAGTGGCTAAGACGCTGAGCTTGTCAATTGAAAGGTTGGCAGTTCAGCGGTTCAAATCCCTAGTGCCGCGTAACGGAATGAGCTCCCGTTACTTGTCCCAGCTTCTACCAACCTAGCAGTTCGAAAACACGTAAAAACTGCAAATAGAAAAATAGGGACCACCTTTGGTGGGAAGGTAACAGTTCCGTGAGCCTTTGGTGCTTAGTCATGCCAGCCACATGACTATGGAGACGTGTTCGGACAGCGCTGGCTCTTCGGCTTTGAAACGGACATGAGCACTGCCCTCTAGAGTCGGGAACAACTAGCACATATGTGCGAGGGGAACCTTTACCTTTACCTTAGATGAATTTGGGGGGGGGGATTACAGCTTCTGATACCTAACCACAGTAGAAAATGACAGCCAGTTTGTCACGAGTTTTGCCTTGCAAATCTATTTAACTTTATTCTGCATTTCTCCTAGCTAAATTTATATATTAAGCTGTCACTTGACTGGAGCTGACCACAATAGGAGCCAGAAGGATGGACAGAGAGGACTCTGGACTAAAACCTTGCATTGTGGAAATGATGTCTTAGCAGTGGGGCTTCGGTTACAATCAATATAAACCTGATCACCTGTCAGATTAACTTGCTCTGCCCGTTCCTGCAGTTTTTCACTTGGCATTCCTGAGGCCGAGATGAGGATGAAGAATAAGGCAGTTCCTTTGGTTATTTCCTTGTGTTAGGTGAAGGAGGCGCCTTGTTTGCTGCGCTCTGTTTATAGGACAAGAATGGGAACTGAGAAGTAATGAGGCATACATTTCCTTGTTGCCGGTTGCTTTATCCTCTTGTAAGCACAAAGTCTCAGAGCAAGGCCAGAAAAGGCGGGGGAAAAAATGGCCGAATGCTTGTTAGCAGAGAATAGAGTTTGAAATAGGGCACCTAAAGGTTTAGAGCCCTTAGCAACTGAAAGCTTTGATTTGAACAAACCTATACTCCAGGTTCTGGCCATCTCTTCAGGATAAAGGTAATTCTCCACTTACGACCGGTTGCTTAGCAACTGTTCAAAGTTATGACGGATTCCTTCCAAAAGTTACTTACAACTTGGTTTTGAAGATCCGATGTTCAACCCACTCCCTGCAGCTGTGGTGAAATCCAATTTTTTTTCTACCGGTTCTGTGGGCGTGGCTTGGTGGGCGTGGTGTGGCTTGGTGGGCGTGGCAGGGGAAGGATATTGCAAAATCTCCATTCCCACCCCACTCCAGGGGAAGGATATTGCAAAATCTTCATTCCCACCCCACTCTGGGGCCAGCCAGAGGTGGTATTTGCCGGTTCTCCAAACTACTCAAAATTTCCGCTACTGGTTCTCCAGAACCTGTCTGAACCTGCTGGATTTCACCCCTGCCCTGCAGTCACATGACCCCATTTGGTGCACTCTGCAACTGGCCCACATTTACTGCCATTTGCAACGCCCTGGTGATTACATGACTGCAATTTATCTTTTTTCGCTGGAATTTATTTCCAGTTTGCTTAACAACCGCTGCAAAAAAAGCCATGAAATAGAGTCTGGTCACACGGTGACTCACTTTTAATGACTCTTATGAGTTATGTCTGCAATTGCAGGACACCATTACAGTTGTAACTTGAGGACTATCTGTGTGGACTATGGGAATATTGGAAAGGTGATGGTGTGTTTTCTTCCTACCAGGTGAGGGGATGGGCAGTGAGGAAGAGGAAGAGAGCGAAGAGGAAGAAGTCCCACAGCAACACCAACCAGAGCTGCTCAAGCTGGACGCCAGGGTGGTTTCTGGGAACTGCAAGAGCCTGCGCTGGAGGGTGGTGCAGCCGTCCAGCAGTGGCAAGGTCCTGGCAGGGGAGGGGCCCCCCATCCTGGTTCTGCAGAAGGGCTACGAATGCGAGGACTGCGGGAAGGTCTTCAGCTGCAGCTCGCACTACAGCAAGCATCGACGAACGCATACAGGGGAGCGCCCCTTCCATTGTGAAGACTGCGGCAAAAGCTTCAACGTCAGCTCTAACTTATATCGGCATCAGCGGGCACATGCCAGTGCTAACACCACCCCAGGAACTCCCTCCCCGGCCCTCCTGCCCACCCGGGGCTTGCCCTACCAGTGTGCCGAGTGTGGTCGGTGTTTCCGCCGCAACACAGAGCTGGTGACTCACCAACGGCTCCATACTGGCCGGCTGCCCTTCCAGTGCAGCGACTGTGGAAAGAGCTTTTCCTGGAGTTCGCATTTTGCCCGGCACCTACGCATCCACACCGGGGAGAAGCCCTATCCTTGCAATGAGTGTGGCAAGCGCTTCAGCCGCAGTTCCCACCTCTACCGCCACCAGCGCACTCACGGCACCAATGCAGCTGCCAATGTTACCCGTGCCTACATCTGTACCTACTGTGGGCGCAGCTTCAGCACCACGCTGCACTTTGACCAGCACCAGCGTACCCATCGTGGCCGCAAGCCCTACAAATGCACCCTTTGTGGTAAAGCCTTTGCTGATGGCTTGGCGTTGGTGAAACACCAGCGTCTGCACTTGGTTGGGGGGGACCAGAGTCACGAGTGCTCGGACTGTGGGCAGAGTTTTGGGGGACGGTCCCAGCTGGCCCGCCACCGCCGACTCCACGGCACTGCCGATAAGCCCTTTGGTTGTGGGGAGTGTGGACAAAGCTTCAGTGCTCGCACTCAGCTAGCTCAGCACCGGCGGCTTCACATCTCCACCGATAAGCCGTACCACTGTGGGGAGTGTGGGCTCAGTTTTACATGGAGCTCCCATTGGGAGCGACATCGACGCATCCACACAGGCGAGAGGCCCTACTCCTGCGGGGACTGCGGCAAGTGCTTTGGGCGCACCTCCCACCTGTATCGACATCAACGCACCCATGCGGGGGGGCAGCCGCACATCTGCCCTGACTGCGGCAAGAGCTTCAACAGCACCTTGCATTTCCAGCGCCACCAACATGCCCACCACAACCCCGACGGTACTCAGCTCTCTGCCAACGCGTGTGGGAATTGTGGCGAGTCGTGTGCCGATGCCTCGGCTTTGCTGAAACACCAGTGCGTGCATGTGGAGGAGAGGCTGTATCCCTGCCCCCAGTGCAAGCGGCACTTCTGTGGGACCTCGCGCCTTTACCGGCATCTCAGAAGTCACACCCGCCAGACAGAAGAGACAGTACTGGGGTTGTCTTCCCCACAATATGAAGGGGTTGAACCATGCTAAGGAGAGGAGGGGGGGCTAGAGAGGTGTCCATGACTGGCTAATGCCAAGGTAGTTCTCCCGGCTAGACTTCCCAATCCAAAGTCCAATGTAAATGATCCTGTTCAGGTGGGTCTTTGGGCTTCATGTTCTATATTTGTTTCTGAGCAGTGGTGGGTTCCAACCGATGTTACCACCGGTTCTCTTCGCGCACGCGCTTTGCACGTGATCGCCGTGTGCATGCTTGCTTTGCACGCACGCGCACTGAATTTACACTCTGCGCAAGCGCGTTAGGTTTCTACCCAGCTGAGGTGTGGCAATCCACTCTGCCATGCCTATCAGCTGGGCTAAAAAACAAGGAATAAAGGTAGGAATAAAACGGGGGCGGACAGGAGGGCCCAGCTCCCAGTCAAAGAGAACCAGTTCGGTGACATCACATCGTTACCACTACCGGCTCGGCCGAACCGGGCCGAACCGGGAGCAACCCACCACTGTTTCTGAGGCATAAAGGAAGAAGAATTAGATCCTCTAGAACCTAGGCAGAATTAATACCAAGGCGGAAACAGTTTCAGGGTTTTTATCAAAACTTTTAAAACAAAACCACTCATCCTGCTAGCAGGAACCAGTGACCATTTCCCCTGCTCCGCGTTTGCTCTCCTTCATGTCCCAATGGCAGTCATAACCCTCTGAGAGAAAGGTGGGCCCTCCATGGGGACCCTGCATTCCTTCGCAAGGACACTTTGCTACCCAGAGCCATGGATCCTCCTCGTGAACACTTTTCAGCACACACCTGCAGCAGGTGAAGGAATCTATCCTATGGTCAAGAAAGAAACCAAGGTCATTAACTCCTCCAGGGCAGATTTGGGGGTTTGAATGAAACAACGGGGAAATCCTGCACAGCTTGCAGGAGTTCAGTTCATCAATGTCGACAATTAATTTGCCGAACTGATTCATATGGGTCTTTGGATTATCCAGTATGTTTAGGGCAAAGATGGGAGTAGATCTAGATAAAAGAAGAAGTGATTGATAGCTATAACATGCAAGGGGGAGGTTGCACCGTGGTGGAATATCTGGCTAGAATAAAAGGGGGAGTAAAGTGCTCGGCTAGTTCAGAGTGGTTCTGTGGGACTCCTGAAGCCTTTATCTGGCTCTTCTCTAGAGCAGGGGTCTCCAACCTTGGCAACTTTATGACTTGTGGACTTCCACTCCCAGAATCCCTCAGCCAGCGCATGCGCTGGCTGAGGAATTCTGGGAATGGAAGTCCACAAGTCATAAAGTTGCCAAGATTGGAGACCCCTGCCCTGGAGAATGCAGGGAGTATGGAGAGATTAATGCTAGGTGCAAAGAACCGGAATGACGCATGAGCAGATCAGAGAAGTTTCTTTATTGCCTTTATTCACCTGTTTACAAGAATTTCGCCAGACTAACTTCACTCTCTTGGGAACAGCCAGATAAAGGTTTCAGGAGTCTGCCTTTGTCACCTCCTCCCATTTACTTCTTTATTCCCCAATCTACTCTAGTTTGAAATTCCAACATAGTAACAGTGCCTATAAAGGTGTTAAGAGCTCTTGCAATTCGTAGCCACCATGGCCATTTAGCCATATCTGGAGGTATTAGGTTTGAGGAGGCTGACCTAAGCCAACCGATTCAGTATTTTGTCAAGGCTAACCTATAATACGTTGTCTCCTTCCAAGACAAGTCCTTCCCACCCTCATTAGCAGGGATCTTCCTCAGTGCCCTTGGTGGTCTTTGAGCCTAGATATTGGCTTGCAGACATTTCATTACCCAACTAGGTAACATCATCACGGCTAATGAAACCTCTGCAAGCCAACAACCAAGCAGAGAGAGCACCACAGTTCAACTCTGAATTACAGATATTCCCTTCTATTGGGTGGATTTTTCTGCACAAAACCAGGGATGGCCTTCAAAAATTTTAGCAAGGGGTTCTCTGCCTGGTTGCTGGGTGGGTGTGGCCTAGTCAGCCTCCTGTACCACAGAGTGGGGGGTGTTTTTACCCTCCCTGGGCTCCGGAGGCCTTTTTTGAGCCTCCGGGAGGGCAAAAATGGCCTCCCCATGCTCCGGAGGCCCTCTGGAGGCCAGAAATTTCTGGTCTACCTGAACCTCCGTTAGGCCCATTTCTCACTCTCCCCGAGCCTCCGCACGCGCCCTGCACCTACCTGCATCCAAAATGGGCCGCGTGGGGACTCCTTGAAGGGGTGGGGTGGGGTGGGTGGGGCCAGCCAGGAGTGGGATTTGGGGGTTCTCCGAAGTGCACAGAATCTTAGCTAGAGCTTCTCCCGAACCTCTACAAATCCCTGGCAGCCCACCCCTGCACAAAACCATCTACAATGAAAAGAAGCTCAGGATGATTTAGTGCAAAACATGCTAATAACAAGGCTAACACACTAATAATTTGCAGCCAATCTTCTCAGGTCTCCAAGCTGGTCACTGGACACACCACAACCAAAGAGAGGTAGCTTATCTTGTCTCCAAAGAACAGCCTCTAACAATGCTGGACCTCAGCTGTCCCCTGTTGCTTCCAGAAACACAATATTGGCATCACGTGGGCTGTGACCAATCCATTTGTGAGGATGACAAAAGTATGGGATTAATGCCCCCAAATTTTCCCAGGTCCACCCTTCCTCGTGCTCTAACAGGGAGTGATTTCAGGGGGCAGACAGCATCACAGCAGAAACTCTACAGAATGTCACTTTCCCCTTCAACTACTAAACAATGATATTATGCAGAAGTTATATTGCTACTGCTCAGAGGCAAAACAGCCAGTTTTTTTTTTGACTAGTTGCATTGGGAATCTTTTAAGTTAAAAGCAACCTGTGTGAAATGGGTAAATATAGCCTATTTAATTTTGCAACCATTTGAATGCAAAAACCCCACGAGAAGAACTAAAAGGCAGTCCGAACTCCACCTGTCCTCCTTCCCCAGTGGTGGGTTCCTCCCGGTTCCGCCGAGCCGGTAGCGCTGACGATATGACGTCACCGAACCGGTTCTGCCCCCCCACCCCCCACGTTATTCTTACCTTTTATTTGGCCCCACCCCCAATCTATTGCTACCTCCTGAGTCCCAGCTGATGGGCTATAAGGAAAAAAACTGTTTAAACTCTTGCTGCAGGGCTTCAAAGGGCCGCCCTACAGTTGATCAGTGGTAAAAGGCAGTTTGGTGGTAGACCAGTGCCTGCAAAAATAAATGGGTAGACCAGTGCCTGCAAAAATAAATGAGTAGACCAGTGCCTGCAAAAATAAATGGGTAGACCGGTACAGCTCTGCAAGCAGTTAAAAGCCTGGTAGACCAGTACCTCTGCTAAATCCTAAAGAATTGTCACATGACCATCAAGCCACGCCCACAAAATAAGCCACGCCCACAGAACCGGTAGTAAAAAAAATTAGAACCCACCCCTGTCCTTCCCTTGCCGTAATATGCTAGATCTGAAGGAAATCATATTTTAAAAATAGACGACATTAAACTGCAGGTCCCTCCAATTTACATACTAATGTATGTTGCTTGAGAATCTGGGATTTTCTGGAAAAACTCTCTGTGGTACTCAACTAACTCCACAGCATGTAATCCATCCATCATTCTCAGTTGGGATTGAATTTGCAATAGCTATTTATTTATCCTGAAACTTGCCCCTACTGAGAGGAAGTTTCACCTCTGGGAGCATCTGTATTTCAAAATGAAACTAGTTAAAACCTTTCCATGTTTTATATACTGGTGGTCCTCAAATTACAACCACAACTGAGCCCAAAATTTCTATTGCTAAGTGAGATGTTTGTTAAGTGAGTTTTGCCCCATTTTACCACTTTTCTTGCCATTCTTCTTAAGCAAATCACAGCAGTTGTCAAGTTAATAACACGGTTGTTAAGTGAATCTGGTTTCCTCCTTGACTTTGCTTGTCAGAAGGTCGCAAAAGAGGATCACATGACCCCCAGGACACCGCAACCGTCATAAATATGAACCGGTTGCCAATTTCTGAATTTTGATCACATGACCATGGGAGTGCCGCAATGGTTATAAGAGTGAAAAAATGGTCATAAATCACATTTTTCAGTGCCATTGTAACTTTGAACGGTCACTAAGCTTTAAATTGTGGACTACCTGTATTTCAGGTTTCCCATTTGACAGAATGAGCCCAGCTTCCTTCTGAGCCAACATTCCAAAAAATGAGTCAAAATCAACAAAACAAACCTACCATGTAGTGAACCAAATTGCAGGCCCATCTTTCACTGAATTTTTTATTATCACTAGCTCAGTGGTGGGTTTCAAAATTTTTTTACTACCGGTTCTGTGGGTGTGGCTTGGTGGGTGTGGCATGGCTTGGTGGGCGTGGCAGGGGAAGGATACTGTAAAATCTCCATTCCCTCCCTAATCCAGGGGAAGGTAACTACAAAATCCCCATTTCCTCCCAATCAGCTGGGACTTGAGAGGCAGAGAAAGATGGGGGCGGGGCCAGTCAGAATTTTTACTATCGGTTCTCCGAACTACTCAAAACTTCCGCTACCGGTTCTCCAGAACTGGTCAGAACCTGCTGAAACCCACCTCTGCACTAGCTGTCATCCTTCAGAGTCTTCCCATGTCCTCGAGTTATTAATATCCCTTGATGAATCTGTTAGCAATCAAACTTGCCCATACCCTGGAGGGATTTATGTATTCCTTTGTCAATGGATGTTAGATAGGAAGGGAGGTCATCATGGGTGAATAGACTAGACCAGTGATGGCGAACCTTTTCAGCACTGAGTGCCCAAACTGGAATGCGCGTGCATGTGGGAGCACCGGAAACCCAATGACCAGCTGGCTGGCATGCACATGTCTGTTTTTTGGCCGTTTTTGGCCATATTTCGGGTCATTTTTGGGGGTGTTTTCAGGCCATTTTTCAGGCCCTTTTCCAGCACTCAAGAGCCCGCGAAGACCAGCTGCCAGAATAGCAGCTGGCAATGGCGCGCATGCCCACAGAGAGGGCTCTTGCGTGCCACCTCTGGCACGCGTGCCATAGGTTCACCATCACAGGAGTAGACAGAGAAGACGTAGAAGGGATAGTGTTAGGATCCAAGGAGCAGTTGCCCAATGGATGTGGATAATCTGTAGGATCACAGTCACTAGGCCCCCTGGAACCTACCACAGCAATTTCCCATCAGGACTGTTGATAATGCCTGGTTGATGCCTTAACTACTAAGTCCCTCAGATCTGGAAATGGCAACCAAATGAACAGGAAGAGCATAAGCAGGTCTATTCGAACAGAACAGTTTTGCTCTGATGTTGTTCAGTTTAAAGAAAGTGGGCGACCACAATCCCTAAGATGTTGTCTTATGCTGTCTTTGCCAGAAATAGTTGCTTGTTTGCATTTGTTGCACTTCCAGATTATACATGTCCCGTGTTCATTCCCCCTCTTAGAGTCTCTCTCTTCTCATTCCTTTCCTTTCCCCCATTGATCCACACTTTCCTTCTCATTTGCCGTGCTGTCCTGCAGCAATATCTGGACATGCCATGATAGAGCTGTGGTGGCGCAGTGGTTAGAATACAGTATTGCAGACTAATTCTGCCGGCTGCCAGCAGTTTGATTCTCATCGGCTCATGATTGACTCAGCCTTCCATCTTTCCGAGGTCAGTAAAATGAGGGCCCAGATTGTTGAGGGCAATATGCTGACTCTGTAAACCATTTAGAGAGGGCTGTAATGCCAAGTTTATCATGTTTTCTAGAGTGCAAATTTGCTGTGAATGCAACGGAAATGCCGATCAAGTCCTTAAGCATCATTTATGGATTTGTTAAGACTGCACCATAAGTCAGGTTTTTTGGTGCCCAAATGAGGAAACCTAACTGGGATCAGTCACAGAAAGTTTAAGCTGATTGGTTCCTCCTGGTCCTTTCATAGAGGTTTAATGATCAGAGATCAGTCACCAGAAAACACCTGGGGCACAGATGCAGGCCAGTCACTGCAAATCATAGTTAAAGGAACAGCCTTCCCTGAGCTAGTATTCTCCAGATTCGATGGATCATGCACACCGATGGAATTTGTACTTCAAGCCACTTTCAGGGAAACTGCTTTAGGGAAACGGGCTAAAAAGATTAGTTAAAAAAACCCCTGAGATCCTGTTCAAACTGGCCATCTCTTCATTTTAAGGGGTATACTGTAGATGGAATTTGAATGTGATAAAACACGTATCTAACTTTAGATGTGTCTCCAAAGATACTTGATTGCTTTGAACAAAGGCTATTTGGTGCCGTGTTCCACTCCATCTTGCTGGGTGTGTCGTTTGAAAGATCCATTCATATATTTTATTCCCCATCCATTCCTGGTACTATTTTAGTATTAAGATAATTGTAGGAGGAAGTATAGAGGTTGCCTAGCAAACAGAAGGTTCTCCTCAATCGGCTCCTGTATAAATTAGCCAAGAAGTAGTTTGGTTGGGGGGGCAGGGAGGGGAAATTCTTTTCTTTCCTTTTCCTCCACAGTGAAGTTGGGAATAGCAATATCTGATGACAATTTATGGTTGGAATCGATCTAGGAAAGTTGTATACTTATTTTGACTGCCTTGCCTAGGATCTAAATGGATATCCACTATATTCTAGGATGAATAAATTTCCAAAGGTGCTAGAAATTAGAACCATCGCCTTTACATAGGGTATAGCTCATGTGTAGAAATTGTGTGCCAACTGAGGCTGTGATCAGTAAATCCATTACTCTGAGGTTGTTGAGCAAGGAGTTGATGGTTTATTGTCCATAAAGTGGATAATCTCCAATACAGCCATGTCTGAAATGAGCAGGAATCTGTGTGTTGTGAATCAAATAGACTAGGGTAATAAAAATGTTTCAGTCAATAAATCTTGTTTTTATGCCTACAGCAAACATTGTTTCACTCAGACATTCTTTGGTAATACATACATTGCCTTATTTTGTAGTTAAGGCTGGTAGATCCCTTTTTCCTAACTGGGTTTGCTTATTGCACTAAATCCTAGCTTCTTCAATTATGGTTTGTGGAATAAGCTAGAGTAAGCTGGGTGCCTATAATATTTAATTAAATAATGATTTACAAACCACAGTGGTGAGGTTCATATAGCAGGCTAAGCTATAACTTTTACTATGCCAACCCAGTCCTATTATCATAGTTATAAAGCTCTGATAAACCATTTAAAATATCCTTACACTGTCTTAAATTTACTTTTTATCCTACTTGATGTGCCACACACACAGATGCAGACTTTCATAGACAAAATGGTTCTTGTATAGTTTCCCATTGCCAAAGTGGTTATTCAATTATATGAACTACAGGAAGATAATCATTTTCCAAGGATGGGTATGACCTGCTAAGATCTGTTTTAGGCCCAGTGCTCTTCAACATCTTGATCAATGACTTGGACGAGGGGATAGATGGGGAACTCATCAAATTTGCAGATGACACCAAGCTGGCAGGAATAGCCAACACTCCAGAAGATAGACTCAAGCTACAGAAGGATCTTGACAGACTTGAACATTGGGCGCTATCTAACAAAACAAAATCCAAAAGTGAAAAAAGCAAGGTTCTATATTTAGGGAAGAAAAACAAAATGGACAGGTACCGTATATGTGGTACCTTGCTCAATAGTAGTAACTGTGAGAGGGATCTTGGAGTCCTAGTGGACAACCATTTAGATATGAGCCAGCAGTGTGCAGCAGCTGCCCAAAAAGCCAACACAGTTCTAGGCTGCATAAACAGAGGGATAGAATCAAGATCATGTGAAATGTTAATACCACTTTATAATGCCTTCGTAAGGCCACACTTGGGATGCTGCATCCAGTTTTGGTTGCCATGATGTAAAAAAGATGTGGAGACTCTAGAAAGAATGCAGAGAAGAGCTACAAAGATGATTAGGGGACTGGAGGCTAAAACATATGAAAAACGATTGCAGGAACTGGGTATGTCTAGTTTGATGAAAAGAAGGACTAGGGGAGACATGATAGCTGTGTTCCAATATCTCAGAGGTGGCCACAAAGAAGAGGGAATCAAACTATTCTCCAAAGCACCTGAGGATAGAACAAGAAGCAATGGGTGGAAAGTCATCAAGGAGAGAAACAATTTAGAACTAAGGAGAAATTTCCTGACAGAACAATTAATCTGGATCTGCCTTGTTCTGCAGCAACTTGAAACGCTACTTCGTCTTCTAATGGCACACCTTTCCATTATTTGAAGATGTTTTATTGTTGGAGTTTTAGGTTCATCTTCACTATATCTGTCCTTTAATTTAAATTTTCTGGGGTTTTAAATTTGAGCCAAATTTATTGTAATTATTTTAAATTTTAATTGCTGTTTTGTCTTGTGTTTTTAAATAGGCTGTACACCGCCCTGAGTCCTTCGGGAGAAGGGTGGTATAGAAATAAAATTATTATTATTATTATTATTATTATTATTATTATTATTATTATTATTATTATTATTATTATTATTATTATTATTATTATTTTCCATCATCCCTCCAGGGTTGAACATTGGGCGTTTCCAACCAGCAAACACAATGTAGGGGAAGGGAAGGGGAGGGGGGAGCGTGTGAATGTGAGTGTACACAGGACAAACCAAGACGCACGTGACTGGGATTCCCACCCCCCCCACACCCACGCCCGCCCCGGTAGCGCGTGGATATCGAGGGAGCCAGCAGAGGGCTCCGGCTTGCCGATTTCCAGGCTTTTGGGGGCTGCGGGTCTTCCCACTCGCCTCTTTTTGTTCGCCGGTTGTATCCGGGGTTGAGCTTCCTGGGTCGGGGAGGTGGCGGCTGAAACCCGAGCGATCAGGGCAGCCCACCTCCCAAAAGAGACCAGCCGGAGCTGCACCTCCCTTCGTAAGCGGGGCTTAAGAGACGGCTGCAAACAGCCGAGCAGGAGCGACGGCATCGACGGTGCTCACGAACAGCTGGAAACTCCGGAACTTCGAAGGTGAAGTCTGGGAGGAGAAAAACCCAGGTTACTCTCCGGTGGGAGAAGAGGAAGAGCCGAAAGGAGCAGCAGCCTCCAGAGGACGGAGGCGAAGCTGGAAGCCGCTGGGCTTCCTTGAGAGCGAGTCCCGTTGAATTCAGGGTTGGAAGTTAATTTGAAACTGGAGTAATCCCTTTTGCAAGATCCGACGGCTCCTCTCTTCATCCTTGTTTCCTCCGGCGGCCAGCCATGCCCCTACTGGAAATGCCATCAGAACATCAGCCCTTTTTCCCCCTGCTGGACGTCCTCTGTAACTGATTTCAGAGGTAGCTTGCCTTTGGATATGGAAGCTCTACACCGCCGTCCTGACAGTGAGCCGTTGATAACCTCCCATCTTCCATTCTATGTTAGTCGCTTCTTGTGGGTGTAAATTCCGTAAGTTGATTATACACTCTGCGAAGAAACACTTCCCTTCATTGGCAGTGGTGAAATCCAATTTTTTTTACTACCGGTTCTGTGGGCGTGGCTTGGTGGGTGTGGCAGGGGAAGGATACTGCAAAATCCCCATTCCCTCCCCACTCCTGGGGGGGGGAGGATATTGCAAAATCTCCATTCCAATCCCACTCTGGGGCCAGACAGAGGTAGTATTTGCTGGTTCTCCGAACTACTCAAAATTTCCGCTACCGGTTCTCCAGAACCTGTCAGAACCTGCTGGATTTCACCCCTGTTCATTGGCCTTCAAGCCCTTTCCAGGGCCCCTTAAGATGCAAAGGTTGGCCTGGGCTTTCTCTGTTTCTCTTATATGGGCAGCTTTCTTAGGACCTACAACAGAGGTTCATTTACTGCTAGGACGCATAATGCATTGCTATAGCTTACCCTTCTACTAGAGGTGGTATTCAGCAGGTTCTGACCAGTTCTGGAGAACCGGTAGCAGAAATTTTGAGTAGTTCGTAGAACTGGTAAATACCACTTCTGACTGGCCCCGCCCCCATCTATTCGCTGCCTCCTGAGTCCCAGCTGATTGGGAGGGAATGGGGATTTTGCAGTAACCTTTCCCTGTTGTGGGGAGGGAATGGCGATTTTACAGTGTCCTTCCCCTGGAGTGGGGAGGGAATGGAGATTTTATAATATCCTTCCACCAAGCCAAGCCACACCCACCAAGCAATGCCCACAGAACCGGTAGTAAACAATTTTGAATCTCACCACTTTCTTCTACTTCCAGTTACTCTGCCAATCAACCTTTCCCTTAGTGGGTGCCTTTCAGAGGAGTTGAGCTTGCAATGTGGTTTGCACAGCAAGCTTAAGCCTGGTTAATCAAAAACCTACCATCCGCATTGATACATGTTCAGCTTGGCTAATTTTAACCCATGATCAGTTTTGGGGTGGAATAATAGGTTGTTCCGATCCAACCCATTAGTTGGTGATTGAATGTATTCTCTACACCGAAAAAATGGATAACCAAATAATATATGTACCGAGCTCAGCTCTAGGTTTTATTTATTAAATTTATATGCTGCCCATCTCGCAGTTCGAGGCGATTCTCAGCGGCTTACAGTATAATAAAACAGCTTTAAAAACAATGATGAATATAAAAACAGATTAAAATGACAAAAAATTAAAACAAACTAAAACAACCGATGGGTTTGAATTCTCACCCACACAGGCCAAAGGAGAATCTAGTGAAATGCTGAATTGTGCCTGCTTGGAGAAAGCTACTGTACTAATCATCGTCTCTGCAATTAATAGGCCACTCATTTAAAATCAATTAAAGAAAGAAGAAGGACCAACCAATTACATGGCATGTACTGCTGAATTAATTTGACATGCTAAGCCATAAACTGGAGACGGTCCACACGCAAAGCTAAAATGTGGCTGGGTACTTTATGGTTCAGGCCCTGTGTAAACCTAGGCAACAGTTTATGAACCATAATTGGGAGGTATGTATACACAGTCATAAAAGGTTTTGTCCAGCTGCACTTCAGTCTGTTGCGCACAGGTAGTCCTTGACTTGCAACTATTCATTTAGTGATCATTCATAATACAATGTCACTGAAAAAAAGTGGCTTATAACCGTTTTTCACACTTATGACCATTGCAGCATTCCTCAAGTCAGGTGATCAAAATTCAGGGACTTGGCAACTGGCATTAATTTACAATAGTTGCAGCGTCCCGAGTCATGTGATTGTCACTTGTGACCTTGCTAGCCAGCTTTCGACAAACAAAGTCAGAGGAGAAAGATGGATTATTCTCAAACATTTTTTATATTAGGTTATAAAGTATTATAATATGCAAACCACAAAAGTAAATAAAAGAGCAATGAAATAGGAGGTAAAGGGAAAGAGAGAAGTGAGGAGAGGTAGGGAAAAAAGAAAAGAAAAGCATTGACTTCCGACTCTGCAGTAGAATAGGGCATTAACATCAAAGAGCCTTGATAGTACAGTGGTCTAAGCACCCTGTTATTAACACAGCTGCCTGCAATTACTGCTGGTTCGAATCTCACCAGGCTCAAGGTTGACTCAGCCTTCCATCCTTTCTAAGGTAGGTAAATTGAGGACCCAGTTTGTGGGGGCAATAAGCTGACTTTGTATAAATATACAAAAGAATGAAGGCTATTGCTTAACGCATTGTAAGCTGCCCTGAGTCTCTGGAGAAGGGCGGCATATAAATCAAATTTTAAAAAAAATCATAGCTTTTTGTTTTTCCATAACAATATGAACACGCCATTTCTATAAAGATCTATCAATCTAATCTGTAAAACTCAAAGTCAAAATTAAGCTGGAATTTTAATGACCGCACTTAACAATTGTGGCAAAAAGCTCATAAAAATCAGGTGTGACTCACTTAACAACCACCTTGCTTAGCAATGGAAATTCTGGTCTCAATTGTGGTCATGTTGAGGACTACTTGTAAACATAGTCACTGCAGGGGTGAAATCCAGCAGGTTCTGACAAGTTCTGGAGAACCGGTAGCAGAAATTTTGAGCAGTTCGGAGAACTGGCAAATACCACCTCTGGCTGGCCCCAGAGTGGGGTGGGAAGGGAGATTTTGCAATATCCTTTCCCCAGGAGTGGGAAGGGAATGGGGATTTTGCAATATCCTTTTCCCAGGAGTGGGGAGGGAATGGGGATTTTGCAGTATCCTTCCCCCGCCACGCCCACCAAGCCACACCACGCCCACCAAGCCACGCCCATAGAACCGGTAGTAAAAAAAATTGGATTTCACCACTGAGTCACTGTATTTGATTTGGTAAACAAAGGTCCAGCAAAATATGGCCTCATTCAGCATAGGGAACTCCGTTATCAATTGCAATCTGCAAGAGTAAGACTAGATTTACCAGTTTTCTAATAATGTCCCCCAGGGCCTCATTTTTGCTCTTATTTCCTTATGGAAGAGAAAGTCCATTTGTACTCAGGCTCCCCGTTGTCCAGGAGCAAATTCTTGCTCCTTGTGACCCCTGTAGTCCAAATAACGCAATCATGCTTCACACAACAGAATTCTCTCTCTGTCCTGCCACTTGGCTCAGCATGCAGGACGTTGTCATTTCAGGGTTGGCGATATTCACAGAAGCACCTGATCATCAACGTCATGCAGGAAAACTATGAAAATGTGATCTCACTGGGTGAGTAGCTCCTCATCCACCAGGATGTTGCTGTGTCATCTCTCCTGACTCTGCTCCTAGCCTTAATCCATTGCTGCAATTTCCATCCAAAAGTTGAATTTTGAAAATGGTCCTTATGTAAAGCAAACAGATAAGCCACACTTAACATTTTGGGGATGGGATGTGGGTTGATCGAGCGATGCAGCACAGTAAGTGAGAGTTGGTTTATTGGTATGGAGACCTTCCTTGATTTTTGATTAAATTGTGATCTGTTTATGGCAGCAATCCTGGTTGGAAGAGACTCTGAGGGCTGACAAATGGAACCCTGACAGCCAGGGTACATTGTTGGGCTGCCCCACTGGGTGACACAAAATAGCAATAGCACTTAGACTTATATACCGCTTCACAGTGCTTTACAGGCCTCTCTAAGCGGTTTACAGAGTCAGCATATTGCCCCCAACAATCTGGGTCCTCATTTTACCGACCTTGGAAAGATGGAAAGCTCAGTCAACCTTGAGCCAGGGAGAATCGAACTGCTGGCAGTCGGCAGAATTACCCTGCAATACTGCCTTCTAACCACTGCGCCACCATGGCTCTAAAAATTGCTGGTGCCTTGAGTTTGACACCCCTGCTTTAGCTAGTCCCTCTTTCTTTCCAACCAGTCTCACAGATTTATTATTGTAGGTATCAGATGAAGGGAATATCTTACGTTTGCCTGCTTGAGTTCCTTGATATCAATGTAACAAGTGGTGTACCTTGATCTCTTCTGACGTGCAATTTCCATTTCTCCCATCTGCAGCAGAGGAAATTGCAATCAGTTGGCCTCGGATAACTGCCTTTGCTGAGTCCCACAGAAGAAGAGGACTTGGGCCTGGTAGGTCTGCAGGGAGGAGGAAGACTCTCCCTGTCTCTGAATAAGTGCTCAAGTTCCCTGAAACCTGGATTCCTTTCCCCTATAATCAGAGAGCCAGTTTGGTGTAGCGATTAAGGCACTAAGGTAGAAACCAGGAGACTGTGAGTTCTAGTCCTGCCTTAGGCATGAAAGCTGGCTGATAGACTTTGGGCCTGTTACTCTCTCAGACCAACTCGCCACACAGGGTTATTGTTATGAGGAAAATAGAGGGAGGGAGGCGTATTAGATACGTTCGCTGCCTTGAGTTATTTATAAAAAAATAATGAAGCAGGGATATAAGTTAAATACATTTACCCAGGATATGCCAAAAATAGCTGGAGCAGGCTGCATTTTACCCTGAGGTTACTATCTTAGGTTAAGGCCATTTCTGGAGTTTATCCTTGAAAAAGGGACTTTTTTTCCAGTCGTAATTTTTGTAATGCCATGAAGAGCTTTATTATTTATTTATTTATTTATTTATTGGTTTGATTTATATGCCGACCTTCTCCGGAGACTCCGGGCGGCTTACAATGCTTTTAAGCAATAGCTTTCATACTTTTGTATATACCTGCTTAGTAGGGCTTTTGCCCCCCGCCCCCCAAGCGGTGTTCTATTTTATACAAAGTCAGCTTATTGCCCCCACAAACCGGGTCCTCATTTTACCTACCTCGAAAGGATGGAAGGCTGAGTCAACCTTGAGCCTGGTGAGATTTGAACTCGCAGTAATTGCAGGCAGCTGGCAGCTAAATACTACTTTAACATTAGTTCAGTCCACTGCACCATGAGGCTTTCACTTTACAAAACATCTACCTACATTGCTATTAGGATACTGCAATAGTAATAGCACTTAGACATATATACCGCTTTACAGTGCTTTTATAGCTCTCTCTAAGCAGTTTTACAGAGTCAGCATATTGCCCCCAACACTCTGGGTTCTCATTTCCCCCCCCCTCAGAACGATGGAAGGCTGAATCAACCTTGAGCCTGGTTGGATTTGAACTGCCAAATTGCAATCAGCTGGCAGGTAGCAGAAGTAGGCTGCAGTACTGCACTCTAACCACTGCGCTACCGAGGCTTTTATTGCATCTGTTTTTCTTTGTAATAGTTTTCTGATGTGGCTTCTTTTTTATATTTTACTGTCATCAGCCACATGGACATTGTATCTAAAGTGGAAGGAAAGGCAGCATGGACATCCAAATAGTATGACCGCAATATCAGTGGATCGCAGTAGCAATTACGTCAGCACAGTTTTTCTGAACTTGAGGCTCTTCAGGCATACTGACTTACGACTTCCATAATTCTTACCCAGCATAACCCTTGGATGCTCTGGTGGGAATTACTGGAGTTGCTATCTAACAGATTTGGAAAATCTCAAGTGGAAGAAGTTGGGCTAATTCAATAGGCAAGTGGCCGACTGCTCCCCAGTGTCCTGTTGCTCTTGTATTTGGCTGACATTTGGAAATAAGGTTTGCCAACACTTTAGCTAGCCTTTGTAGCTGTGTCTCTATATTGTTGTGGCTCTGTTATCTGAGCCTGTGTCATCGGCAGGAGAGGACTCCGAGAGTGAAGGAGAGGAGTTGGCAAGGCCTCCCTCTCCAGGACCCTCCTCTCTGGCAATGCTTCGGTGTCCGCCGAAGGGCAAGAGATAGGGCCGGGCCCAAGCACGTCCACACAGCCACAGATGGACAGTGATGAAGGTAATGAGTCTTGGCTGGATCCACGCCATCGTCGCAGAGATAAGCGTGCGCAACAGAAGAAAAGGCGTGCCCGAGATTAGGCTGAGTCACTGGACCACACCCCACAGGATATAAAAGGGAGCGTGGTGGCCAGTCAAACCTTGTTTTTTTGTTTTTTTTTAAATTTGATTTATATGCCACCCTTCTCCGGAGACTCAGGGCGGCTTACAATGCGTTAAGCAATAGCCTTCATACTTTTGTATATTTATACAAAGTCAGCTTATTGCCCCCACAAACTGGGTCCTCATTTAACCTACCTTAGAAAGGATGGAAGGCTGAGTCAACCTTGAGCCTGGTAAGATTCGAACCTGCAGAAATTGCAGGCAGCTGTGTTAATTACAGGGTGCATTAAACCACTGTACTACCAAGGCTCTGTGACGAACAAAGCTGAAAGCTTCCACGCCATTCTGCATTGCCGGACTTTTGGCTATAGACTTTGCTGGATTATCTCTGGACTTGATTGACTCCGTAATTATTGAGCTGTTTCTTTTGATGTATCAGAAGTGGGGAGAAGTTATCTTTCCTCTTTGTAAATAATAAACTCTTGGCAGGCAGCCACTAGGTTGTTGTCAAGTTCTATTATCATAAGGAAAAGGATTTTGCTGGCTGGTTTGGTCTTTAACTCTTGAACGTCTGTTGGTGTGTGTGCGTGTGGTTGGGGACAGAACATCTTTATACCCAAAGCATTTTTTTCCTTCCCTTCAATCATGTCCAATTCTTGCAGACTCTGGACAAGCTCCTGCAGTTTTCTTGGCAAGGTTTTCCAGAAGTGGTTGCCATTGCCTCCTTCCTATGGTTGAGAGAAAGTGACTGGCTTGAAGTCACCTACTTAGCTTTGTGCTTTAGGTGGGACTAGAACTCACAGTCTTCCCAGTTTCTAGCCTGATGTCTTCACCACTACATGAAATAGGGTCTCCATCCAAAGCATGTCCAGAATAAATTAATAATAACCATGCTCTGAAAAGCTTTTCTGGCTGATTTGTACCCGAAACATTGTACCCAAGACATTAAAAGAACCTGGTGGCGCGGCAGACTAAAGCACTATTATTAACAGTTATTAACATCAGCTGCCTGCAATTTACTGCTGGTTCGAATCTCTCCAAGGCTCAAGGTTGACTCAGCCTTCCATCCTTTCTAAGGTAGGTAAAATGAGGACCCAGATTGTGGGGGCAATAAGCTGACTTTGTATAAAAAATATACAAAAGTATGAAGGCTATTGCTTAACGCATTGTAAGCCACCCTGAGTCTCCGGAGAAGGGCGGCATATAAATTAAATAAAAAAAAAAATTAAGGCATTAGAGAAATTCAACATTTTTTTTCTCTACCTGGATCAGTTGTCAAAGCCATGCAAAAACTCTCTGTTTGCGTTTGTGTCTCTGTGGTGCAGTCATGGAGTCTGAACGGAGCCAAGCACCGCAGGCCCAGTTGCAGAGCCAAGCAGCTGGCCCAAGCGAAAGTGGACTCAATGCTGACCTCCGTCGCCAGCTGGGCTTCATCCTTCAGACGGCGGGCAGGAGCCAAGTGGAGAAGATGCTGCGGGAACTGGTGAAGGAGCAGAGCCAGGAAGGGAAGCGGAAAGCAAGGAAGAAGGCACCTAAGAATCACAAAGATGAAGGTGAGATGGTCTCCTTGCAGGAACTGTGGGAATACTGAGAATGAAGGGGACGACACTGTGCAAAATAACAGGGAAAGCATCTACAGAGGGAGTCAAGCGGGAACAGATTGGGGGAGACCTGGCTCAATAGCTGTAATTGTGAGAGAGATCTAATGGACAATCACTTAAATATGAGCCAGCAGCGGTGGTGGGTTCCTCCCGGTTCCACCGAGCTGGTAGCGGTGACGATATAACGTCACTGAACCAGTTCTGCCCCGCCCCCGGTGCGTTAGTCTTACCTTTTATTTGGCCCCACCCCCAATCTATTGCTGCCTCCTGAGTCCCAGCTGATCAGCTAGAAGGAAAAAAATTGTTTAAACTCTTGCCACGGGGCTTCAAAGGGCCGCCCTACAGCTGATCAGTGGTAAAAGGTAGTGTGGTGGCAGACCGGTGCCTCCAAAAACAAATGAGTAGACCGGTGCCTGCAAAAACAAATGGGTAGATCAGTACAGCTCTGCAAGCAGTTAAAAGCCTGGTAGACGAGTACCTCTGCTAAATCCTAAAGAATTGTCACATGACCATCAAGCCACACCCACAAAATAAGCCACGCCTACAGAACCGGTAGTAAAAAAATTTAGAACCCACCCCTGGCCAGCAGTGTGCTGCAGCAGCCAAAACAGCTAACACAATCCTAGGTTGCATTAACAAAAAGATAGAATCAAGATCATATGAAGAATTGTTGTTGTTGTTAGTTGCGACGTCGTGTCTCTGTTTTCGCTGGCAGAGGCACTGCGGGCCAGTCCTTTGCTGTTTCCAGGGCGGCCCCACAGGCCAGATCTAAGCATCCTGTGGACCAGATCTTGAGTTTGATACCCCTGCACTAGATGGTAGCAGAGAGATTCAGAAAATTATCCTTGTATGTGCCTAATGGTGATCTGGATTATCGCAGCCCTCTTTTTGTATCTGTGGACGATGGAGCTGGTAGGAGGGTCACTCCAAAAGCCCCGAAGGACGTCACTTTGAGAAAACTAATCATTTGGAGTTGGTCCTGCTGCTTCTTATCTTCCTATTTCTATTCCAGCTGTTGGGGAGAACGAAGAAGAGCTGCAGCCAGAACAAGACCATGCGGAGAAGGGGGCATCGCCCTCAAGGAGGTCTATCAGCCCAGATGAGGCTTGTACAAGCAGCAATTGGTGCCCGCAGAGCCTAAAGGACCAACAGCCTCCTCAAGAATCCGCAGTGCATCAGCAGGAAGGGAAGAATTCCGACAGCCAAAGGCACCTGGAAAAGTCTGGGGTGTGTGGGGAGTGTGGGAAGAAAAGCATGAGTGGTAGTGGACGAGGCCATGGTAAGCCCACACCAGAGAGGCCACACCAATGCACCGAGTGTGGACGTTGCTTCCGGCAACACTCCATCCTGGCTAAACATCAGAAGATCCATACGGGGGAGAAGCCCTACCTGTGTGTGGCTTGTGGCAAGAGATTCAACCGCAGCTCCAACCTGGTGCAGCACCAGCGTGTGCATACAGGGGAGCGTCCCTTTCTCTGCACAGCCTGTGGCAAGGCTTTCACCCAGAAATCGGATCTGGAGCGTCATCAGCGGGTGCACACAGGGGAGCGGCCATACATCTGCCAAGACTGTGGGAAATGCTTCTCCGTCAGCTCCCACCTCGACCGGCATAGGCGCACCCACCAGGATAACCCTCAGGAGCAGCCTTCGGCCACCTCTCTGGTCCCCGTTACCCACTACTGTCCCGACTGTGGGAAATGTTTCAGACAACGTTCTGCTCTCGCTAAGCACCGTAAAACCCATTCGGGCGAGCGCCCCTACCCCTGCAGTGCCTGTGGCAAGCGGTTCAGCCGCAGCTCCAACCTGGCGCAGCACCAGCGCATTCACACGGGGGAGCGCCCGTTCCCGTGTGCCGACTGTGGCAAGAGGTTCATCCAGCGTTCTGACCTGGAGCGCCACCAGCGGGTGCACACTGGGGAACGCCCGTATACCTGTGCTCAGTGCGGCCGGGGGTTTTCCGTGAGTTCCCATCTCGACCGCCACCAGAGAGTCCACCAAGCCCTCGCGGTAGCTGCAGCTGCCCACTGCTGCCCCGAACACGTGAAAGGGTTCCTCCTCAGCAGTGGGGCCAAGCAGACCCTGAAATACCAGCTGTACGGCAGCAAAGGACGTCTCACTCGCAGCAGCCATTGCTTGGACTGTGGGAAGAGCCTGAGCAAGCTTCCCGCTCAGCCCGCGGGGCTTGTGGTCGAGAAGCCCTACAAGTGTGAGGGTTGCGGGAAGGCCTTTGCCCAGCGCTCAGCGCTGATGAAGCACCAGCGCATCCACACCGGAGAGAAGCCTTTCTCCTGCGGGGAATGTGGCAAAGGCTTCATCCAGAAGTCGGATCTGACCATCCACCAGCGCATGCACACGGGGGAGAAGCCGTACCGCTGTGACACCTGTGGCAAGTGCTTCAGTGTCAGTTCCAACTTGCTGACTCACCAGCGTACCCATCTGGGGGAGAAGCCCTACACCTGTGGGGAGTGTGGCAAGGCCTTCGTCCAGCGCTCGGAGCTGACCATCCACCAGCGCACCCACACCGGGGAGAAGCCCTACAAATGCAGCCTCTGCAGCAAATGCTTCAGCCGCAGCTCTCACCTGAACCGTCACCGGCGCACCCATGGTGGCCAGAAGGACATAGCTGATCCAGTCCCTTCCCCATTGCTTGCCCCCAACCCCCACAAGCCAGGCATTCCTCTGCCCAGCTCTGTCTTCTCCACCTCCTTTTCATCTCCCAGTCCTCTCCCTCCCTTACCTGCCTTCCCTTCCTCACCCTCCCCTCTTCCCCTCCCTGGTTTGGAGCTGCCTTGGACTCTCCCCTTCCCATCCCAGGGTTTTTCCCATCCAGCCTACATGCCCCCTGCTCCAGACACAGCCCAGGCTTCTCTCATCAACTAATTTTTCCCCTTCTCTCTATTCCTGCTCAGTGTCCTCCTCCTCTTCCTTCTAGCTGCCCTCCCAAATCCTTTCTGGTTTTGCTTCTTCCTTCTCCTTCCCTGTTCACTGAGCTTCACTCTCTGTTCCCCTGCTCTGTTTTCACTGGCCATCCACGATGAAGCTGGAAAGGAGAAGCAGGCAGAAACCGGGGGGAGGGGGGGCATGCATCAGTGAAGCAGGTTGTTCCAGGGCTGCACAATGCTCGGTCCTTCTTCCTGCCTTCTGCATCATTGTGAGACAGTATCAAACTCTCCGTCTTCCCACCAGGGTTAGAACCACTCTGGGTAGCAGCTTGGCTGGAAGAGAAAGAGGAAGTTGGCAGCTGTAGTAACAAGGACACTGGTAAGCCTTGGCGGGTTGGGAGGGGGATATTAGCAGCTGCCCGATGATGCCAGCTTGGTCATCTGAGCTATCCATACCCCAGAGTATTGAATGCGCCTTCCTGTCTTTCCAGACAACCTTGTCTACACATCTGGCAAGACAAGAAGGAATGAATCACAATAGGGTACAACATCCTGTGACCCTTGGCAGAATTCATGGCAAGGAATCGCATTTTTGAGGCTGCTTGATACGACAAACTCCGTGCAATTGGAAAACATCTGAGGAAAAACTGGGTAAGGAGGTTTTTTTTCTTGGACATATGAGCTTCTGCACTGCTGTGTGCATATGTGTGTGTGTGTGAGGGGAAAGGAAGAGTCTGAATTTGGTAATATCTTTCATTACATTCTGATGTAGTCAACTCTTCCACCCACAGAAGGTGTCTGCAGGGAGAGTCAAAAAAAATGATGATGGTAGACATGACCACAGGATGAAAACTCCACCCATTTCTATGAGCTTTGTTGACGAGGGGTTAGAATGCAGTATTTCAGGCAAATTCTGCCCACTCTGTCAGGAGTTCAATCCTGACAGACTCAAGGTTGACTCAGCCTTCCATCCCTCTGAAGACAGTTAAATGAGGACCCAGAATTGTTGCGGGGAATATGGTGACATTATAAGTCACTCGGAGAGTACTGTAAAGTACCATGGAGCAGTATATAAATCTAGTGCTCTTGCTTATGCGCGTTGCAACACCACTAAAAAAAGGAACAGGGAAAGTCAAGATGGCGGCCGCCATCTTGACTTTTTTGACCTGCATAGACACTTGTGTCCCTACCTCATCCTCATTGAATGCCACTCATTCAATTCTTTGCAAAGATTTGGGAATCCTGAAGAGCAAAGATTGGAAACCTATTGCTTTCCAGAGGGTGCTAAACTACAAGTCCCAACAGCTCCTATGAGCATGGGTAGTGCTACAGTAAGGAAAGCCTCTTGGTGTCGTTTAGCAATTCCCTGTTTGAGTGAATTCTAAGCGCTCTCACCAAACTACAGTAGTGGCCAAAACTGCGGAAACTTTTTGGGGAAAAGTGTATTTTTGAGGATTGATGGCTAATAACACCACTTTTTTTTTGGAGTAGTACCATAAAATTATATATCAATGGAAAGATAATTTAATCAAGAATGTGATGCTTTTCAACCTTTGTTTGAGAGATAAAAGTGGCTTTTTCTGTGGAATTCTAGATTTTAGGCCAAATTCCTGCAGTCTGCGCCGAACAGTCCTTGCACTCAACTTCACATTGCATTGCGCCATTTCATCTTGTATACACCCAGATGATTTTCTTCTGTCGCATAGGCACAGTCTCTTAATTCTTCTATCATCAATTGCTCTTGTGCACCTTTTCCTGCCTTTACCAGTGTGGTTTTGGAGTGACTGATTCTCCATATGCCTCTTCAAAAACTTAGAAATGCCACCCTTGGTTAAGTTTCCACCAATTTTTCTTCTAATTTCTTTATAACTGTAGCCTTGTTCACTTAATAATACTATTTTACATTGCTTTCTGGGCGACCAGTCAACTCTTTGCACCATTACTTTAATTTCATTATGTTTTACAAGCTCACTAAATGAAAGAACACAAAAAAAAAACCAACCAACTTGATAGCAATCACATAACACACTGACAAATGTCCTCCTCTCAGCTTCAATACATGACATCAGTAACTGAATCCTACTCTGATCTGATTGGCTCATTGCCAAAACAAGATGACACCTGATTGGCTCTCTAAACACGCATGCTCATTGGCTACAATCAGATGAAGGAAAGCTACCTGATATCAACTTTAGCAAGTTGTGCTTCCTTTTTCTGGTTATTTGGCTATAACTTTTCATAGAATTCAGACACTTTGTTGCATTACATTCTTGATTAAATTATCTTTCCATTGATATATAATTTTATGGTACTACTCCAAAAGAAATGGTGTTATTAGTCATTAAACCTTAAAAATACCCTTTTCCCAAAAGGGTTCCACAATTTTGGGCACTGCTATAAGCCTCAGGAGCCTTTGTGAGAAATACTGCCAGTTCAACACATCCAAAAGTGCTTTTAAGTTTCTAAGACAGATACATCCTCACCTGTGTGTCTCATACTGTAGCAGTATCTTTCTTCTTTGATGTTCTCTCATTTCTGATCTTCTTGTTTTGTCCTCCCCCAATTTTCATTTTGGTGCTGCAGATTATGGTGCATTTCGTAAAAGGGAAACCTGAGGAAAATGCTCTCAGAGGACAGAGAACACAACATCTGGTTCTGCAAGATTGAGAAAAATGGGACAATTTGGGGCTGGCAGCTGCCCAGGCTAGAGACTGAGATCCAGCTCCCTCTAGTGTATGTTTAGCAAACCATCTCATGTGCCTTGTCTTCACTTCTGTGATTGGAAAAGCTGCCACGTTTTCTGGTTCCTAGTTGTCATCATAATCAGAAACCAAGAGTTTAAATACTCTCTGTATACATAGATGTACACACAACACATGCACATACAGGTAATCCTCGGGTTAAAACCACAACTCCAGAATCTTGGTTGCTAAGCAAGGTGGTTGTTAAGTGAGTCACACCCAATTTTATCACTTTTTTTGCCATAGTTCTTAAGCGAATCATCTGGCTTCCCTCACCGACTTCGCTTGTCAGAAGCCAATTGGGAAGGTCAGAAATGGTGATCACAGGACCCCAGGATGCTGCAACTGTTGTAAATACACACTGGTTGCCAAGTGCCCACATTTTGATCACATAATCATGAGGTGGCTGTGACAGTTGTAAGTGAGAGGAACAGTTGTAAATTGCTTTTTTGAATGCCACTGTAACTTCAAATGATCACTAACCGAATGGTTGTAAATTGCTGTACACAATTTGAAATTATTTGAAATTATTCTAGTCAAGACTCTTTGTATCAAGTGAAAAATCATCTTTTTTGGTATTTAGTGAAATAATTATCGCTATTATGCATTTTTACAACATTTTTAAACTGTGAAGATTTAAAAAAAACAAAAGAGGAAGAATTTTGGAAGCGATTTCCAGGAAGCAAAAAACACTAATGTCTATATTAATAAATAAAGGGTGAGAACATCCTTTCCTCACTTTAAAATTTGGTAGGATCATAAAGCAAGAAAATAACATGAATTGTGCATTCCTTCCTGTTAATTTCTGCATAATCCCATTAATATTTAAATCCATGAACACCTAGCTTTTTTAAAATCAGCCTCCTAAAGAATTTTGCCATATTTAATAACTCACAGAAGAATCAGAGAAACGACTAATACATCAGAACATCCCAAAGGTGCTTTTTCAAGAAGCAACCGGACTTTGTTTTTCTTTGAAGACATTTCACTTCTCATCCAAGAAGCTTCTTCAGCTCTGACTGGATAGCGGGGGAATGGAAGGATTTATATTACTTGCAGATAGCTGGTCAATTGCACCCTTTTAGAGCAGTGGTTCTCAACCTGTGGGTCGAGACCCATTCGGGGGTCGAACGACCATTTCACAGGGGTCGCCTAAGACCATCGGAAAACACATATTTTCAATGGTTTTAGGAATAATTTTATGGTTGGAGGTCACCACAACATGAGGAACTGTATTAAAGGGTCGCGGCATTAGGAAGGTTGAGAACCACTGTTTTAGAGAGTCGTTGGAGCCACCTGGATGTTTATCTGTGTCCTCAGGGCCACCTGAGTAGTGCAAATGAAGTGAAATGTCTTCAAAGAAAAACAAGGAAGTCCAATTGCCTCTTGAAAAAGCACCTTTGAGCAACCATGACCTGGATAACTGAGAATTTCCATAGACAATACACCAGAACCTTTACCCTTTTCATTAAATTACTTCTTCTGAAAAGTTGCTACTGGAATGCTTCTGATTTTTGGCTGACATGGACTTGTATTATCCTTCTCCTACAATATGAAACTTTACCAATCCTTAACTGATAGTCCCTGATAAAATGACATGCAGGGTGCCAACAACCTCCTTTTGCTGATTTTGGAGGAAATGAAGAAAGAACACGTTTTCTGGAATGTAAAGGAAAACATATAGTTACCATATGGAGCCAAATTTATGCCAATGCATTCCTCAAGCAAGCTGACTGCACCACTTTCTCAATAAAACTGGTGGAAAATGTGATGCAAATACATTGTAAGTTTGTTCTCCATGGAGGTGAGACTTGCCAGGCTTGATGTTAGAAAGCTCTGATTTCCTTGCTCCTCCTTGCTCTTCTGTCCAGTCTCTAGCTACAGGTAGCCCTTGAGTTACAACCGTAATGGAGCCTGCCTGCAGTCATAATGGTCATAAATTGGTTCAGTCATGTGACCAACCAGATTTTATGACATTGTTTGCAGCAGTTAAGCAAATGAACACTTTGGTCATAAATGGAAACATATTGTTCACTATGAGTGTGGTTTTGCCAAAAAACAGAAGTCTTAATTTTTTTGGCAAAACTGTTGTAATACAGTTACTCGACTGCAGGATGCTATGTAAAAAAGCTTCATAAAACACAGTTGTGATCACGGGGCAACTCCAACTGTCGGAACTTAGAATCCAGGTTGTAAGTTCCCTTTTTCAGATAGGTTATAAGTGACTGGTTGTAAGTTAAAGACTACTTACTGTACATTGTAGTCAACTACATGCCTGTGAAAAACTCTCAAGTAGAGTATGAAGATTAAGATTTCCCCAGACAGATCACACAGAGAAAGTATGTATCTAATGGAAAAGTCTTAGATTTGGGGCTAAACATACCTGTAGAAAAATATTACTTGTATCTCACAAGACAAGGAATTTCACGGCTGTGAAGTCACTGTCAGTTTTGGGCTGAACCTGCCCTTCCCTCTTGCATATCAGATCGCAAGAGTTACGAAAAGCAGGTTGTTTATCCCTTGGTAATCGTTATAAGGAGGATTGTCTTATTGACTCACAATAAACCAAATGTTGCCACATGTATAACTTTATGTACACATTTGTATAAACATGTTACATAGACCTTAACTGGTGATACTTCCTTCTGTTCTCCCAGGCCAAACCTTCATTTGCTAATCATATATCTACTATGTACGATGTGCATAGTTCGAGAACAGGCCTGAATAATTACTCTTCTTTCTCATCTGTTGATAATGTAGGATATTCAGCATGCATAATATTTTTGAAATCGATAGCGTTCATCAGTTGACCTTAACTGAGATAGTTCATTTATCTCTGTCCCAAAACGTAAGCTTAACAAGTATATACCTCTGCACATTCCTGGCTCCCACGCCTATCCCCACATGTTTGTTAAAACCAATGAAACTTCTCCCTTGTTGTGATGTACTTGCTTGAACAGGTTCTTTTTAATGTATGCTGAATTGCACACCCAGCCACACTACACCCTAAACACCATCAAAGCATGTGTGATGTTAGTGTGTCTGTAGTGTTTTGCCCTAGGAAAGAGCATGGCTCAGTCTCTATTCCTAGTCAATGTCTTTCTCTTCTTCTTAGCAGTGCTGCTCCTTTATCATTTTAGCAATATCTTCAGATACTACTTTAGGATCTGCTTTTTAAAAGGCTGGTTACTTATGTGGTCCTTTTTTCTGCTTCCGGTTCTAGCTCTCCGTGGAAGGAATGTGGCAAATATAAGGTAAGTCACACAGCACTATGGCATTAAGACACACATACCTACATACATGTACTTTCAGTTAGAATAGAATAGAATAACAGAGTTGGAAGGGACCTTGGAGGTCTTCTAGTCCAACCCCCTGCTTAGGCAAGATACTCTACACCACCTCAGACAAATGATTATCCAATCTTTTCTTAAAAACTTCCAGTGTTAGAGCATTCACAACTTCTGGAAGCAAGTTGTTCCACTGTTTAATTGTTCTAAGTGTCAGAAAATTTCTCTGTCAGCCTCCGATCTTTCAATGCTTACTTGGCCGCCATGGTACCGGGGTGGGGGTGGGGGAGGAGGGGGAGTTAGGAAATTGCTAGACGGGGAAGCATGCTGGAGAAGGAGTATGGAGAAACGAAACCGAATCTTAGCTGCAGTCCTGTGCCTTTGAAGCTGCTATCTGCTGACATTCCAGATTGATGAAACTGCCAGACGTGTGATTTCCACCTGACTTCTGGAGGACCTTTGGATTGGATGATTTATGCTGGACAGTTGGGAGGGGATGCTTTCTATATGTGATTTTTCCGCCTATTGCCTCAGGTCTTGCTTTCCTTGGCTGCATTCAGTTCAATTTCAGTAAAAGTACTTTTAGCTATGGAAATGGGGTCGGGGTCATTCTTTCCTGAAATCTGAAAGGAGGCACGCCTGACATTCTCTTTAGTTCTAGGTTGCTTCTTTTTTTGCTTCGTTTTCACCCATTGCTTCTTGTCCTACCCTCAGGTGCTTTGAAGAATAGCTTGACTCTCTCTTCTTTGTGGAGCCCCTGAGATATCGGAACACTGCTATCATGTCTCCCCTAGTCCTTCTTTTCATCAGACTAGACATACCCAGTTCCAGCAACCATTTTTTATATGTTTTAGCCTCCAGTCCCCTAATCATCTTCGTTGCTCTTCTCTGCACTCTTTCTAGAATCTCAACATTTTTTTTACATCATGGTGACCAAAACTGAACGTAGTATTCCAAGTGTGGCTTTACCAAGGCATTATAAAGTGATATTAACACTTCACGTGATCTTGATTCTATCCCTCTGTTTATGCAGCCTAGAACTGTGTTGGCTTTTTTGGCAGCTGCTGCACATTGCTGGCTCATACTTAAGTGATTGTCCACTAGGATTCCAAGATCCCTCTCACAATTACTACTATTAAGCAAAGTACCACATATACTGTACCTGTGCATTTTTTTTTTTGCCTAAATGTAGAATCTTACTTTTTTCACCATTGAATTTCATTTTGTTAGATAGTGCACAATGTTCAAGTCTGTCAAGATCCTTCTGTATCTTGAGCCTATCTTCTGGAGTGTTGGCTATTCCTGCTAGCTTGGTGTCGTCTTCAAATTTGATGAGTTCCCCATCTATCCCCTCATCCAAATCATTGATGAAGATGTGGAAGAGTAATGGGCCTAAAACAGAGTGTTGGGGTACAGTTCCATTGAGGACTACACTTTGAGTGCAGTTTGTCAGCCAATTACGAATCCATCTGGTGGTGATGCTGTCTAACCCACATTTTTCTATTTTATCAAGTAGTAGATTATGGTCTACTTTATCAAATGCCTTACTGAAGTCCAAGTATATTATATCAACAGCATTCCTCTGATCCACTAATTTTGTCACTTTGTCAAAGAATGCAATAAGATCATGCAAACATGATCTGTTTCTGACAAACCTATGTTGGCTTTTGGTTATTACTTTGTTTGCTTCTAGGTGTTTGCTGATTCGTTGCTTGATTATCTTTTCCAGAATCTTTCCTGGTATTGAGGTCAGGGTGATAGGTAGTTTTCTAGATCTATTTTTTGAAGATGAGAACTACATCAGCTCTTTTCCAGTCCTCTGGCAGCTCCCCGGTGCTCCAGGATCTTTGAAAGATATAGTTTAATGGTTCTGAGATCTCATCTGTCAGTTCCTTCAGAACCTTGGGGTGTAATCCATCTGGTCCTGGTTATTTGAACTCATCTAGGATAGACTTTCAGTGATTATCTGCTGTTAAACAGAGCAACAGGGTTGCTCAAATAGAGTCAGGAGAATGGAAGCAGAAAAGCAGAATTATAGGGAGAAGAGTAGAGTTATTTATTTGCTTACTTGCTTTATTTACTTGTTAGATTTGCAGTTTGCTTTTCCTCCAGAAAGTGCCCTTGTAGGTCCCACCTCATTTTATTTCCAAAGACATAATCCTAGGTTAGATTAGGCTGCAGTTGAGTGACTGAAATTGTGTGAGGTCATCCAATGAGTTTCCATAAATGAGAGCTCTAAT